TCCCATCCAACCCGGTCTTGAACACTTCCCAGGATGGGGCAGCCACAGCTTCTCTGGGCAACCTGTTCCAAACTTGTCTTTTCTAGCACAGGTAAGCAAAAAAAATCTAAGTTTGTCAACTTAATTATTTGTCTATCCCCTAAACAAAATAAGACATACAAAAAAATACACAAGTTTTCCAGAACAATTGGAAAGAGGCTGACTTGAAAGGAAAATGACAGCAAAGATTCTGCAAAGAGCAGCAGAGTTTTTATGAATCTCAAGTTCAAATGTAAATAGTGGCAATTCAATCCTTTCCAAAGATGGAAGATGGAAAGGAGAATGCACTGATCAAAAGCCATCCTGTAACTTAAGTGAAAAGAAGAAGACAATGACTCCCACAGTCATAAACAAGGAATAGTGAAATGGCAGGAAATGACAACTGAGTCTGGCAAATGGTCTACACGAGGATGATTTCACCCCATGGGGAGAAGCCAGACAGACTGACAGGACAGTTTCAGAAAACTGCTGCATTTTAATAATTTAAAATTATTACTGAAACACCCACTGTCACCACCTGGCATCAGGGCTCGAATTTAAGTACCACATAAAACACATTTTCCTATTACTACTGTCACTAAAAGCAGGTGTGAGAAACCCAAGGTGACACCACACAAACTACAGCAGTGTGTGGCACACCAGGAGTACCTGAAAGCTCTGCTACCAGAAAGGACAACACTCCCAAATAAAACAAAGTTGTGATGAAAATATGAGACAACTGTCTAGATATTCAGAGATACCAGCTTCAAATACCACATCATTTGAGTTGCAAATACTTTACATCTGACAGGCCTACTGCTCCCACCAGCAGAGAGCACAAGTCTGCCTAAGAAAGCCCAGCAGCCTTTCTCCAAATTACTTGCAACGAGCAATTTGTCCAGCCAGAATAATCTCAAAATAAAGCAATTATTTTGAGGGGGGGGAAAAAGGAAAGAAAGACACAAACAAACAAATCCCTTCCCCCAGTAATCCCAACTTTGCTGAATTTATTATGTGGCTGCAAATTAATATGTCACCTGCACCAGCTATCACAAGGTTGTCTCAGAAGTTGCTTTATTAAACAGCTGCAAGTAGTGGAGTAAATGTGTAAACATCTCACTTGCCTCTCCGTGCCATTGTGTCAGCTATTCTGCATGTCTTTGAAGGTGCTCCAAAATCAGCATGGCTCTGCTTTTCCCTTTTTCTCCTTTTGGGAGGAGGAAAAAGCAGAGCAGGAAGGACAGGCTGGCAACAGGGGGATAACTCTGTGCTCGCTGTGCTCTTGACAGTGAGGCTGCAAGTGTTCAAATGCAGTTTACACGGGCTCTTCTGTAAGGACAAAAGAAACCACTGCTGGTGGTTAAAAATGCAAAAGGTTTTGATTGCAATGGCTTGAAAATAAGCCAAAGATATGACTAGGGGGAAAAAACACAGCAAGGCAGCTATGACCAGAATGGAAGAAACAAGGAAAAACACATGGCTCGACTTCAGAGCAGAAAATTGACTTAGGCTTTGCATAAACGACAGCATACCTCCAAGCCTGCCTGATCCACAGTCTGCCTGGAATGGGAACATGTAGGCTAAAAGCAGAGCCTATTAAAAGGCATAATGTTTCTAAACGGCATCTGTTACATACTAATAAGCATTACTTAAAGGACACAGGCCTTAAATTGCTACCAAACGTGCACTTATCTGAAACTGCTGCAAGGCAATCGTTACCCAAACGTCACATGACACCATGGGAATCTGAATAATAGAAAATGTTTTTATTTCCTTTGGCTTGGAATCACTACGCAGGAAAAGACATGGAGGCCCTTTCTGAGATTCTGAAACTGTGCAACTTCACAGGAACGAAGCACCAGCCAGAATTCCACCGGCAGAGCCATTTGCCACCTGCTGTCAGCAATGCCAGAAAGACCAGCCACCAGGCAGGGGTTTCAAAGGTTACAAACACAACATTTTTAAGCACCCACAGACCCCTCTGTAAACAGCGAGCGGGGACCCAGTTTAACTTCAGATATGTGGGACCTGAGGGTCTGCCAATCCTTTTGCAAAGACAACATTCCAGAACAGCGAACTGCAAAGGGTTTGGAAGCCTCTCAGTATGCAACCTTTCCACCATGTGGCAAATACATGCCAGCCTGTTCACGTAGGTTCTTATAACATGCTCCCAACCAGGATGCCTGCACACCTCCCACTTGCAAATTGAAACCGGCTAGACTTTCTCTTGTGCTGTTTGTTTTCCCAAACTTTCCCCTCAAGGGAAGGAGTGTATTCACTGAAGTGCTATTATGGAAAAGGGCTCTGGTTTGTTTGCTGGGTTCTGGACTGTATTTTTTTCTTTGGGGGAAGTATTTAGGATTTTGTTTCCTGATTTCTTTTCTTTCCAGACCATAACTACATATTTGTGTTAAAGAAAGCAAGGTTTTGGTAACTTGCTTTACCTGTGGCAACGACAGCCCTTACATACACACACTCCTCAGTCTGAATAAAATTCTGCCTCTTCATCCATGAGATCTGAGTTCCACTATGGTTGTTCATCAGTCTCATCTTACAGCTCTGAGAAGCTTTTCTAGATGCAGAGACCACATTTATGATGATAGTGCCTATACAATACCTGAATTTTGTGGTTCCATCTTTCAGGCTGTTGACCTCCTGCCTATAAACTGATTAACATGGATTTCGTGGAGGGCAGGGAGATTTCCATCCTCCTCGAGAGACAGATGGAAATTTAAGACTTCATTAATGCAATTGCTAAACTAGATGTACAGGTTTCCCATCCTGTAACTATTTCTCAGGCTCCAGAGGTGTATATACGTGATTACTCACTGAATGTCCTTCCTGGCCTTTCTGTTGGATAGTTAAACACATATAAATCTGACTTCTGAAACGTTCTGAATCAAAAAGAATTTGTGAGAAGGCTCAATCTAAAACAAGAACCTCAAGTTCTAGGTCAACAGCTGCCCTGCTTCTCAACAGCAAGGTCTGCCTAGGGCTTATAAGGGAGCTTAGAAACCTGGAAGTGTAAACAACCTTTCCCTGTGAAAAACAGTTACAGACACAGCCCTCAAGACTGAGCTGTAGCATCTCAATTATAGCACAACATGAACTGTTGTTCATTTGTACAAGACCTAATGGTTGACTCCAACATGCTCTTAAAGCCTGCTGTACACTCAACTTGCTTATTATTAAAGATAGGTATATCCAACTAAATAACTATGCCAAAACTCAGACAATACCTAGAAACAACATCAGCTGTCCCAGAAGAGGAAGGGGATGGAAGAACAACTATTCTAAACATTCAATTTGAGAGTAATGAAAAAGTCAGGGAAAAACGCAGACTGAAGTGCCCAACAATACAATGTTTGCTTGGACATGAAAAACCAAATCCCATTCATCTATTTTATTTAAAAACATCAGTAGAATTGAAAGCCTTCCAAAGGAAAAAAAATAGCATTATTACAAATGTTTGACTTCCATAAGTGGTTGATAGCAGGGAAAAAATAGAGCAATCTGACTGAGGCACATTTAGCCATGAGCAGCAAGAGGAACTAATGAACAACATCATTATTTTACTGAAGGGGATGAAGTAGGTGCTTTAGACAAATGGCAGCAACTTAAAATGTGTTTCAGAAGATAAATTCACTTTCTCTCCATTTACCTGCTAGCGTGACAAATTAAGAAAGAGGAGTATAAAAACAGAGCAGGAGGGAAAGCAGTGCGAAAGCTAACTGAGGTGATGCAATGGGCCCTTATCCAAACAAGTGCGTGAACAGAGATTCTTGGAAGTCCTCCTAGTCAAATATAAACCCAGAACACTGCACACGCCAGACTCCTTTGGAAATCCACGGTGGAGCACGTGCAGAAGATCCACCTGTGCTTAAATCAGGTCCCTTACCAGGCACTGGGAGCAGGGCCATTCAGGAACTGATGTAACATCTGTTCATCTCAAAGCAGTGCAAGCCCAGCAGGTACTGAGGGACTGAGCAGCTCTTTGCCCACTGCCAGAAACATCAGCAAATTAACTTCTCCTAGTTACGAGCAGATGAGTGGAGAGTGGCTTTTTTCAAAAAATATATCAGTTTCATGTACTTCTTGTTCTGCTGTCAGCTCACCGACAGCAAAAAAAAAGGTTTTACTGAACACTTTTTAAAGAAAGCGTATTACATACTTTGTATACAGTATATATGTATATAATATTTTATAGTATACTGTGTACACTACTCTGTAGTATACAATGCTTTTTATATCTCATCTCTACTAATTATGTTCGCATGGTCAAGAAGCAATGTGTTTACTGCTCCTTTTGTCCCTGTCAAACCACGCTCCTTTTGTTAAACTGTGGGTTTGCTCAGTTTGAGTAAACAACTGCCGACAGTGCCTGATATTTGGCTTTAAAAAACTGCTATTTTTACGCCGTATTCCCACTGCTTTTTAGCAGTTCTCAAGCAGTGAGTTATTAAAGCCTTAAACTCATCCACCTGCGCCGAGACCCCCGAACACGCTCTGCACACAGGAGTTCGGGGATGAGCCTCTGGCAGCATCACCCTCCGAACCACAGCGGATGGGAATCATCGGGCCAGTCCTCTCTGCTTCAGGACTAGCCGAAAACCTGGCAAAGTTACCCGTACGCTTGGGAAAAGGGGGAGGAGGGAGGGAGGGGGGAACCCTATGTAGCGGCTGCCCCTGCGCGCAGGGGGTCGGGCTGTCCCACCTCCCTCAGGCGCAGCGGGCGCGGCCATGGAGGCGGGGGGCTCGGCCGGGCACGGCCGCGGGCAGAGATTCCCTGGAAAGACCGGAGTGTTCTGTGGCGTTGCAGCCGCCCGTGGCCATCCCGGCGGCGGGGCCCGAGCCGAGCTGCTCCCTCCCTCTTACCCGCGGCGGCTCTTCCTCCTCCCTCGGCCGCCATCACTTCCTGAGGGCGGGCGCGGGGCAGCCCTGAGGGCGGGACGGGGGTGGGCGGTGGGGTGGCGGCTGTGGGACAGAAGGACGGCGGCGAGGAACAGCCTGGCGACGTTCCTGGACAGCCCGGAGGAGGCCGGAGAGCTCGGGGCAGGCTGAGGGAATGCCCTGAGCCCCCCCCATCGAGGCACGGCCCTGGGCGAGGGCCAGCCCAGCGCTGCGTCTGAACTTAACAAAACTCCGATACAAATCCCACGTTATCTGTTTAAAAGGCACAGAACGACAAGGCATAGAGCTAGCGACAGTTTCTGTTAACCTTGGGGGGGGGGGAGGCAGAGAGATAGAAAGTTTACGAGGGGAAATATGTGTAAAAATTACATTTTTATAGCGTTCTGCAGTGATCATTGTCAATCTGAAAAAGGAGTTTGGAAGACCTAGGCAAGTAGTCTGCTGTTCATTACCACAGACCATTAAGCTGAGGTACGGGAGCTAAAATGAACACACAGCTGTCAAAAGTAGAATTCAGGTGGTGACTCAGGGAAGCCTTCCTACCTGCACTGTGCAAGCATTTAATTATTTTTAAAATAAGAGATACAGGTATCAAAGAAGTGAAAAGTGCACGGGAATAGCAATATGTTTGCAAAGAAACAAACTCACCTTTGCACTTATACCACCAAGGTACGCTGTGACCTTCAGAAAAAGTCCCAAAGCAGCATCTCGAGTGCTGCACATCAGCCAGGTACTTCATTGTCAACACAGTGACCAAAAAGTCCTTAACATTGTTCTCCTTTCAAATGGCTTAAAACACATAGTGAAGTAAATTTTTATTTTCTTTCCTGAGCAGGGTGAAGCGATCTCAGCCCATCCAGATGTCACATCACCACACCTTACAGAGCCTCGGAGGATTTCAGCACATTCTGTTGATCCTTTGTGCCTTCCACACACAGCCCAGAGGTTTGGCCATACCATGGTCCAAGGTCTAGTTTGGTGCAACATTGCTGTGTGACCCTGTGTGAGTTTTACTGAGGAAAATCAGAAAGTACAGGAGTTAAGGCCATGAAATTAAGCTGAAGTCACAGAATTGCTGTTCATGGGATAACAATAGTTAGCTAGTAAAAGATTCAAGTGAAAAGATACAGAAAGAAAAAGAAAAAAAAGGCAGAAAACATGATGATAACTCAGTATTGCTGAGGATGAGCTCATACCAATAAATGTCAGAGACCAGCTTTCCCCAGCGTACGGGAAACTTCCTGGCCAGCTAAAACTCATCAGTTTTCTTATCAGGAGTGGTGAGCATATTACTGTTCAGCCTAGTAATCTCTTAGTGCTAGCTATCCTATTTTGCATATTAGCTGATAAATAGTTACTTCAATTGTGTGTATCCTGCTTGCACAGTCTCTTTGTGCTGGTAAATGACACCTGAACAAAAGCAACCTGTTGGTCGTGAGTTGCATGTTCTCCTGATGAAGTACTTTCTCCCTATTATAAACAAAAATAAAGTTAAAAAACGTGTTCATACACAGCCATTAGATCTTGCTAATACTGCAGGAAGACCAGAACTGAAATTGCAACAGCCACACAACAGCTTGGCTACATTTAACTTATATACAGTGGATATTTCTTCCATTATTGCTAAACACTGGGTATAGACCAGTGGATTCAAATCCACAAGAACTAATATAAACAAGGCAGTGACATAAAATATATAAAACCTTCTATCAAAAACCACACTGGCACAGATTGCCCAGAGAAGCTGTGGATGCTCCATCCCTGGAAGTGTTCAGGACCAGGTTGGACAGGGCTTGGAACAACCTGGGATATAGTGGAAGGTGTCCTTGCCCATGGCAGGAGACTTGATACTAGGGGATCTTTAAGGTTCCTTCCAACCCAGAGCATTCTATAATTCGGGGGGAGGGGAAAGTAAGTGAAATTGCAAATATATCTTTCCATTTACTATTTCTACAGATTTTGTTACAGAAGAGGCCCCTGTCCACAGGGAACAGTGAGCTTTACACTAAAATGTTTGTCTCCTTTCTTTTTGTGACATTGCATTCCATCTACCTGAAGACCTGCTTCAGTCTTTCCTGAGGATCATTTATTTTTATTAGAATGGAAAAGAAATATAGAGTGTTAGATGCTGAAATTTCTATTTCAAGTCCCATTATAGTTTAGTGTTAAATAGCGTAACAGCTTGATTTCTTCCTCCTCTCATTAAGTGTTGAACAGCTGAGATAAAAACTGGAATATATTAAACACTTCCACTTAACAGTTTAAATCACTGGTCAGCGCCTGCCAATAACAAGAAATAAAAAACCTACATGTAAGTAATAATAAAAGGGATAAAATTTAAAGAGCCGTTTCTAAATGAAGGGCCATATTCTGTTCTTGTTGCCATCCACTAAAAAGCTGCTGGAGCAGTGTGCTGGCAGTTCTGCAGTGTGGTCAGAATTCATTTGCAGAAAAAAATATTTTTCTCTTACTCAGCAGTTCAAATAAGTTTTAAATGTATCAGACAAGTGTACAGAAAAATATTCAAGGTGATAACCAAGACTTTCATAGTTGAGTTGGTTCCATTTCTTCTTTACCTCAGGATGAGGGCCATGCCAATCACATCTGTGCTTAGCAAGAACAACAACAACCAGTGTTTAGCTGAGTCAGCTGCATCTGACTTGCCTTCAAATATCAAGGGCTTGGATTCTTAATTATGGATGGGGAGATTAATTTGCACAGACCTCACATATCCAGTGACCCTCAAATCCATTGTTATGGGCACATACACACATGGGAGTGCTAATTTTAAAGCTACAATCATACTTGAACAGAAATTTCGAGAGTAGCTTCGACTTCAGCTGAAGAAATGTTAGAGGAAAGAAAAGGTTTAATTTCTGAATAAAATTCTGAGTAGAACCAAGGCCTAACCTGAATTTTTTAATTCTTTTTTTAACTATGTGGCGCTCCAAGTACACAAAGCACATACACACAAAGCTTGGGAACATGAGCAATTGATTAAATCAGTGCAAAAATTAACTTTGGTGTGCTCTGTCAAATTCAGTAATTCCATCAAAGTACTTATACCACTGGCATGCCTCCCACATTTGCACAAGTATATACCAACACTGGAAATGTCTTGGAACCTTTCCTACCAAAGCAGCAAAGCTCTGCTTATGGAAAAGGACTAACTTAACTATTGAAGACAATACTTTCCCAAAAAATATTTCTGTCAGCTTCTTCATAAAGGCTTGGTGATATAATCTTTGTTGCTTTGTATTTTTTCTACTCCCTTTTGCCAGCTGTAAAAACTTTGAACACTAGTACTACATTCCAAACAGATTGTATCAGTTGTTTCAGAGTGCATGGAACTAATAGACTTACATCTACCCTCTGGAAGAATATCTAATGAAATACCTAATATTTTACAGCATTCAAGCAATACCTTTCATATATATTTACATATATATGTGTATGATTGTATGTGTATATAAAGCAGCTATAATGTCCCAAAGAAACCACAGTTTCTCATTGTGGAAATTAATTAAGCAACTATAGACCTTAAATCTTGCTGTATTCCTTAGAAATTCACTAGACCACCTGTACTTAGATTTTTTTTAAAAATAGCAGAAATCAGAAATAACTATAAGAAGACTCATTACCCTGTTCGATGTCATAGGGAGAGTTTTACTGACTGATCAGGGAGAAAAATTAATTGATAAGAATCTTGATTGACATAGGAGTATGAAGGACTGTGGGATTTTAGATGTAATTCACTGCTGCCAGTGGCAGATTTTGTCTTATTTAGAGCTGCAGAGAGCTCTGTTTCCTGCATTAGCTACTCCTTCAGCCCCAGCAGCCAGCAGAAGTTAGTTTTGCAAGTTGTACTGACCAAGGGAAGGAATGGATGATGGAATCAGAGAATCTCTGAAATAAAGAGAATCCACAAATCTCTTTGTGTCTCAGCACAGGAGGATTTAAATGACAGACACAGGTCATGGCTCCAAACCTCATTCAGCCCCATCCAACCCCAGAGATTTCTTCAGAGATTATTTTTTCCCTAAGGTCTCACAATTACCAGCTCTCTTGAGATGATATAGTGGCTTTCTATTCTTAGCATATTTCTCCCCTCCCTCCCTCTCTCTTTCTCTCTCTCTCTCTCTCTCTCACACACACACACACATACACACACACACTTCCTACTCAAAACAAGACCCATGAAACCCTCTGCCCACATAGTTATAATTCCCAAGAGAACTTGCATATGCTTTTGTTTTGGGCAGTGACAATGTGCATATGTTTTGATTTCAGGCCCCCCCCCATTGGTTCTCAGGCTCCAGTTTAACGAAGACAGACCAACTCTTAAACTCACCAGTTTCAGCAAGATACAACCCAGCTTCTAGAGTTCCTCTGACCTTGCAAGTTGGAGTGAGATTTTTTAACATGTTGCCTGTTAAAGGATATTACTGAGTAAGTGTTTTGGTTTAGCAAATACACACATTTTCCTATTGGTGTTTGGTTTGGAAAGTGTACATTGCTTTGTCTCCTTTATAACAAGCCTGAGACAAGAATCAAGAGTAGTAAATTAGATAACTGCTATGAAGAGGAACAGCAAAGTTAGCCCTGAGTTTAAGTCAGTAAGAGAAAGTCTAAGAACAGGAAAAATAGACAAGATAAGTTTTTGTAGTAAAGTCGCTCCTCATAATTAAAGTGAGTTACAGCTGATGACCCACAGAGATACAATAAAACTGATTCAATTGATTTTCTGTTTACTTGCACATAAACAGGTGGTGAAAAATGTTGCTGGATATTTTTCAAGAAGTTTCTCTAAGCCTTTCCTGTCCTTTCTAAATCCTATTACATGCCTGGAAAAAGGAATAGAAGTTTGGGGCAGTCCCAGTCAGACAGCTGGGCAGTCAGACTTCTATCTTTAATAGAGACGTAATAATTTTTGCTTTAAAAGCTACATGAGTCACGAATCATCCCTGTCATGTGAATCCACATGCATCACAGTTGGAAGAAAAAAGGTGCCTTAAATGAAGTTTGCCACAGATACCTGAATTATAACACTGTTTGGAACCGAAAGACAACAGGATTTCACCTTCTGGAGCAGAGATTTCATGGATTCAAATTCCAGCACTGTGGTGGTAACTGGTGAGGTTTTTATTTTGTTCTTTGAGCTGGAGATGGTGTGCACGCATGCTTGGTCTTTGTCATAAACAGTTTCCTGGAGGGAAAAACAGTAGCAAATGGTCATACTAACATTTCTAAATGGAAAATAACTTGCTGTGCCTTCCTAAGAAAAATCAGATGCATGTCAGAGGAAACAGACTGCAGTCTGCCCTCTTTACTGCCATCCAGTTTGGTTTGTTGTTCATTCTCTCCATGTTTTAATCTTTGTTGACATTCTCTCTGATCCAAACCACATAGCTCAAGGCAGTGCAGGCTAGGATTAGATAAAGCTTACCCAAAAGGAGCTCTGAAGCAAGAAAACCAGGTTGCATCACAATGTCACATAGTCAGTGTCCAGAATTAGAGCAACACATGGCAAGTCTCAGGGGCTCAGTTTCATGGCAAGGTAAGGGAGTTTTAAACAGGAGATGCTGCCTCATCATTGCTAAACTAGACCATTAAATTTAAATATACCAAAGGAACATGCCTGAACATGCAGCACAAGGGACCAAATTTGGAGTTTCTCTTGCTGACTGCAGCTACTGAGGCTTCACAGTGGCAGAACCCCCAGCTAGAGAGTCCTGAGCTTTAAAAGGTTAAAGCTCTTAAGGAATGCTGCTCCTCGCTGTTCCTCTTGTTGCCAGTGGCTCATCTAAAGGCAATCATTACACATATCTTGACATGTGAGTTGCTGGATAATTTTCCACTGCAGGTCATCTGAGGACATAGGAATGAGGTTGAAGCTACATCAAAGAGATTTGCATCTTGCTGTTTTCAATTAAACACTTTTTTTTTTAAATAGCTGCAAGATGGGCAGAACTAGTCTGGCTTGCTCCAGACATAACTGCAGCTGAGCTGGATGGAGTGCAGGAGAGGGCAGGAGGTATTAGCTAACCTCTTAAAAGGCTGACAGTCTGGTTCTCTCCTATGATATTTATGGCACATACCCTTGTTAGGAACACTTCTTAGCACCCTCTTAGATTTTTCCTCCCCTTACATCACCATTTATGTGCAGAAATCTACTTGTTCAAGAAGTTGGAGACTGGTGTGCCCCGTTAAAGACACAAGTGCATCTTTAAGCTACTGCAGAGATTATCACAGCATGTCTCTGTCACATTTTCACCTGCTCAGAATATAAACCTGCTGGCAGGGAGCCCAGTTTATTATATGGTGCTCAATAACATTCAGCCAGTTAGTTCTCCACATTGCTGCAGGTATTTCAGTAAAACTCCTGCATTTAGTCATTTTTCATGGAATAATTTTGTCCTAAGCACAAGTTTCTTACAGCCACCACTGACACACACGTGTTTCATTGGGAGCTGATTAATAACTCTATTATAATTCTGTAGTTCTGCACACACAGGTACAGAAGCATGTACAACAACTACAGCTCCAAAATGGAGCAGGTGTCACCCTAATTTTGCTCCCAAAGCAGAGTGGGACCACTGGGGTTTTATGTTCCCATGATAATGTGAAATGAGCACCATTTCCCTTCTTCCCTCCCCATGGCAGAAACTCAAACCTGGAGAAAACCTTGTCAGAAATATTACCACCGTCAAGCTTTTCAAAATACTAAAGAGAAAAGATGGAGCAGTTATGAAATAAGCATTAACAAATTAAGAAATGCTTAAAGTCTAGCACTAATTAAGCTGTCACAAGCCTGTATTTAGGCTTAATTGTCTCCAATGCAAGTAGCTTTCACTGTGCAAAATAGCAATCATATGCTGTCAAGTATTTATTTGTCCATTTAAGGATTTTTAAATATTTAAGAGTTATAGCATAAAAACCATTTCACAAATTCCTGTTCCTGCCACCCAGTATCTAAGACTTGGCAGCGCTCTGGATTGAGAATATTAATTGAGATTAATAAAGATAGTGGGAGTTTTCCATCAAACTTTTTAATGACAAAAATGCCATCTGCTCAAAATGAGTTTTTATTTCCCTTGTATTGAAAAAAATAAAAAGACTTTCACAAAAAAGATGGATAAAATTGAATGTAATACTTTGGATTAAAGTGTGCTTTTCCCTTTTTGCCTTTCTTTATCTTTGGGTAAAAAGTGAAGAAAGAGACAGAAAACTTTCAAGTTTTCATTACCTGGGATTAAAACAAAATTACGAATTAAATAAAATTTTACTTTTTCAAACATTTTCATTAAATATGCATATCTTCATCATTATGAGCTCTAACAATAAGAATGATACATTAACTCTGACCTGGGAGTATTTAACACCAGAACCTTTAGTAGTGGTATTTCTGGGGATGATGATCCTTGCCCAAAATCATCATTTACTTGATCTGTCCTATCAGTTCCAGTACATTTACCAGCTTTATTTAAGGCTCTCTCACAAGAAAGCCTTGACATGAATGAAGATTGCAGGATTCATTCTTTTATCAGTGAATACACAGAATGAAAATACTATTCCCTTAAGTGTTATAAAGGCTAAATCCTACCTGAAAAACTCAACCTCCATAACCAAAAATATGAAGATAAAGAACAAATATGTGTGTGCAGGCAAGTCAGCCCCTAATCTGCAGTTGCAGAGCAAGCAGAGATTAAAAACACCTTTCTTTCTTTTCATTTGGAGGTTTTGGTCCCTTCAGACAATACTTGGTTAATTCCAGCTGGGAGGCAGTGAAGGTAAGCATAATAAAAAAGGGGAAAAAAAGGAGGGAGACATTTTATTTTGTAGAGATCCCAGCACAAACTGCTTTTAGGCTTTCCATTCCCTTCAAAAAAGTTATTTCTCATGACTCATTAAACAGAATTGTGCCTCATGGAGCAGACTCCCAACATGGAAGAAAGGGGATAATGAAAAAATGAAACATTATTTTATTTGCATGATATTTTTTTGTGCTATTTAAGCACTTTCAAAATATTATTCTTGATTCTTAAAAAAGGTATTTTTCACCCAGGGTGCCTTCTCTGCAACTAATGCATATTGCACGAGTTCTCTCTGTCTGCAGTAAATAGATCATCTCACACCATGGATCATTTTATCATGTCTGTGTGAGGTGATTTCCTTCTCATACAAGTGCAGCTTATGAGTTCTGACTGCCTGCTTCAGGAACACAAAAATCTGTGCCAATTCTAAGTATGTTTTCACATTTCAGCTTTGGCTTCCACTTTCAAATGACAGTGAAGTCTACAGTTAAATTGAAAACAAGGTAATTCAGATTTTTTTCCTCCTCTATACACCTTGACTAGCAGGAACAAGTCTAAGGTGGAGCCTTAAAAATTCCTGCTTATTTCCTTAATCTGTGTATTAGAGCAAATTTATCTGGGGGATAAAAAGACATGGTTTGGATACGTGGCCTTCAGCATCAGCTGATTCATTCTCCCTATCACAGCTAAAAACTTTCCTTGAGTTCAGTTACTCTCATAAGGTACTTAGGAACAGAGTTATTTTGAGAGAGTCTTTCATACAAGTTTTTAGCAATCCCAAGGTAGAAAGAAAGTCACACAATGAAATCTGAAACTACTTGGGGAACAATCAAAATAGTAAAATTGAATTAGAGCTTTGGTCCAAGAAATAACAGATAAAACTGGTAAAAAATGGAAAGCAAGACGTGTAAAACAAACTGAGGGGAATGTGTTCTTTTATGAAGACTGAAATAAGTCCATACATTTTTAAATTCTTATGGACACTGAAAGGAAAAAGGCAGCTATAGGAAAGTATTAGTAGTGACAGAAAGGCAATGGCCCTACAGGACTATAACCACAGTACAAATTTCAGTGACAGCTACTGAAGATCTGATTTGAAAATGAAATGCACTCCAGCCAAGATGACTGAAAAACAAGGAGCTGGTACATTTTTCCACAGACCAAAGCTATAGCAACTCCACCAACACATACATATTTTCTATTTCAGCTTTGTTGGGTGAGTGCATCTTGGTGTTTGGTAGAATAAATCTATTGCCCCCTCCAAATCATGAGGGATGTTATCCCTGTAGGCTAACAGGAAACAAAAATACTTCTGTGATACCTTTCCACACCCCAGTCATTACAGGAGGCCCATAAATTATCTAAACTCCAACCTGACATGGGCCCTAAACCACAAATATTTGTCAGTTGACAGTATTCTTGCTCATTATCTCCTGATTCCTGTTAGTTCTAATTTTGGGTGGAAGATCATCCTCTTCTGGCTGAAAATAAAGCACGTTCTTTATCTGCGAGCAAAACAGCCCAAAGCGAGAAGGCACCAATGGGATGAGTTTCCTGTACCAATGCCATGAGCTGGCTACAACAGGGACTTACATAACAGGGGCTACAGCATTCCATAACCAAACAGCTGTCAGTCCTTGGGTATGGAGGAGAACAAATCCATTTCTCTCTGAGGTGACACCCCCGGTGTGGAATTAATTTGTATTCAGACTGGGGATGCTGCTTTGGTTTCCTGTGCCTTGGCAAAGGTGGTAAATTCAGGCAATTCAGAGAAATTTGCTGCAAATCTGGAAGTACTTTGAATTATGATAGGCTTCTCCACGCTAAATAGCAATCTCATGGTATTGTTCCATTGGCCTTATTCACAGGAATAGCTCTATGGTCTTCAGGAAGCTTGTGCACATATATTAGAGATAGCAAAATTTAGGATTTACATCTGGAAGTAATCCTGTCTTGGCTTGGGGTGCCTGCATGGATCACTGGAGTGACATAAAACCCTCCTGCTGAGTCCCTTTGCTGTGAACCAACAAGTGTGCACTCGGATTCCTCCTCAGGAACGTGCTGAGCAGCCAGACCAGAGCTACAAACGTGACTGCTCAGGCTTATGTTTAATGCCTTTGTAGCATTATCCAGAACTATCCTAATTATTAGCCCAGTATGAAGTGGGTGCTTATCAAAAGCTTGGATACCTTATGGAAAGCCTGGATACCACGGCAGCCTTGGTGATATTGAAATGCTAATGCATGCAATCTCCAAAGTTCACATCCCAGAAGGGTCCTCATACCAAAAGCATCTGAAATCCTGTAAAAATACATTTAACAGTTCCAGTGTCCTAATTCCAAAGCATAACCTCACCCTCCATGCTTTTGAAATGGATTCTTTGCCAAAGAGCAATGGCTTCCCTTCTGTGAGCAATACTGGCTCTTACACACAGCTGCTTCCTTAAAATCCCTGTTACAGCTCCCCCCTAAGATCCTGCCGATGGGACCACCCGTTTTCCTGAACCTCCCTTCTTGCTGTGGGGAGGATCAGAGACTGATCCAGTGAGCACACAGCCCATTCCAACAGTTGCATCCCTTCTATGCCCTCATTGGCACTCAGAGAAATACTGTTGCTCTTAAAATTAACTGTTTACTACTACCACCTTTTTGGTGAATAAGCCAATTTCCCTTTTCTGAAGTACTCAGGAATCAAATGATAAACGTTGATAAAGCTCTATTTCTGCTAGTTTAGAAAGAGTATTTGTCCTGCATTGCCAGTTTTATAATATGAAGATACAATTTTCCAAGAATGTTTTTGCATGGACCCAAGTTTTCATCACAGCACAAGACTCACGCAAGGCATTCATCAGCATGGCATTCATCATCCATGGAGTTCTCATTCCTCAGCAAGTACCCCCTGAGTGTTCAGGGAAAGGGAGAGTCAAATGGTTCTGAAAGTAGAGGCAAACCTGTCGATTCAGGGTCATGGAGAAAAGCTTCCAAGCTCTTATAGACACTGTCACATGGCCCAACATGGTTGTGTAGCACTAGAAGGACAACTTCTATTTAGAAACCTACCTCACTAAGTTTTTCATGGTTCTCATAACTCCATTCACCTGAAGTCCCCTCCTAAAATATGCACGAGAGCTCCACCAGCAGCACTTTTAACTCTGGAAGTGCAGGACATTGTTGCTAAAGGAAAACAACACCAGGTATTTGCTCTGCTTTTGCTGACAGGTCACACTGAGTTACCACCATGTGTTAGTTCTGCAGCACCACGTGGGACCCTCAGGATCCCAGATCCCCCGAATTATTGATTCCATATTCCAGACTGATGGTCCCACCTAATAACCCTTGATCCGATCCTGTTTTTGTGTCTCCTCCAGAAAGTCCTGTCTGCAACTTGGCAGCAAAATAACCTATCAAAGCAGTCCACCCACCAAGGTCAAACTCCCCAGTTAATAGGGCACAAATGTAAGTTGAGTGACAACATTCACAGTAATTAAACTGTTAGTGCAAAGAACAGGTCACATTTCCAACTGCTTCTGGGAACTATGTCTGCCATCGGGAGATGAGGATCAGATCTCCCAGTGCAGTTTTTCATCCTGCCACTGACCATGTGGTCTTTGGAAATTTGTCATTCAATCTCTCTGTCTCTCTCCCTCTCTGCTTCAGTTTCATCATCTGTGAAACTAAGAAGACATTGCTATCTAGTGCCTTCATTTCTGTTCTGGAATTTTCTTGCATCCCTAAAGCTTTAAAAAGGTATCTGCACAATTAGGAAAAAAACAAAACAAAACAAAAAAACACCCAAAACCCCAAAGCAGATACCTAAACAAAAACCCACTAACCAACCAAACAAAACGCCTTTGTTTGCAATGCACTTGCAGTGTGACAGGATCAATTGAAAACTTCTGGTTCCCTTTCTGCACCAACACAAGCGATTCACAAAATCAACACACGTGACCCCCTTCCCAGCAGCCCAAATCAGTGAGAACTTAGGCAAACTCACAGAAATTTTCGGGACTTTTTTGAAAGTTCAAGATGCTTCCAACACTCCGTGGGGCACAGCCACCACCTCTGAGCACAGAGCTTACAAATCCCTCCTCTTTGAGGAGGGCTGTGTGACAACACGGGCCGAACACTGGGCTGTGACCACAACTCACCAACAGCTCCAGATCAGCAGCTGGTAATGCTGGACTTCATTTCCCTCCTAGAAGAACTTCCCAATAATCTTCATGTTTTCTTTTGAACCACTTTTCCCACAAAACAGTCCTCCAAAACTTTTCTCCTCCTTCGAAGTTTCCTTTGCTGTTTCAACTACACCGGACAGGCACTTGTTTACTGAATTCACTCACCTCTGTGAGGTGCAGTTATCCTCCTCTAACCATCCTCAGTCTCTCACCTTACATGCAAAAATGGTTCTGGTTAAGGCTCAGACAAGGAACAACCTTCGTTTATTTTATTCCATGTTTGCACAACATCTGGTCTAAGGGGGTATAAGCCCATGGTTGGGATTCTTACACAACACAGTAATGCATGTTATTGACAACGTGCTGAAATTGCTTAGGACATAGCAAACCATCTCCTTTGACACAAATTCTCAGCCCTTTGCTATTGGGCAGCTTCAGGGTTTTCTTCAGTCCTGCACATAAGTATTTCTGCGTGTTTCTGCCATGACAAATGTTGACAAAAGAAAATCTGTCAACAGAGAGCACGAGAGGAGAACAACCTTACAGCTCGCTTTGGGTCTCCACGTTCTGAACCAAAGTTAGGGGCAGTTGAGTTCTCTAGGCCTTACAGTTAAAAAGAAAGAATCTCATTAAATGTAAAAATTAAAGATGCTTTAGAAAAGGAAATGCTAATTGTGAACCAGCTGGGGTTTTCTTTTTCAGAGGCTCGGGCACAGTACAGCATTCTTCAGTGAGATGATGCAATGGTCTCTCAAAGACTGTCAGTGCCCAGAGGAAAAAAGGCTGGCACTGTTCTCCAAATGTGTTTACTTCCCTGCAGGCATTGTTTCCTTGCTTGTGTCAAATAGTTTATTGAGCACAGCTAATCAATGCTTCCGCTGACAAGAAAATTGGAACACTTTATATAGGAAGTGAGTGTTGAAGGGCAAATTTCCCAGAATTGTGGGCCTCATCCACAGGGGTATCCTGAGTGAGAAATGAAAACTTGAGAAGACAATGACATTTAATACAGCTACAGGTTTCTTGGGCTAATCAGACACCTCTGCTGCTGTGCCCCCCTTGGACACTTCATCTGCACCATCCTTTGGTAGAGGTCTACTCAAATGGAACAGGGATTTTCAGCCACCATTTTACTTTTCTGAGACAAAGCTTTCCACTTCAGATGCATTCCTTCTGCATCCTGCCATTGCAGCCACCTACCTTCTACTTAGAAGTTCATGCCTTGTTTGTTAGTCCTGTTCCACTGACAAAATCATTTCATGTCCATATGACATTTCTTCTCCAGACCATCTTCTAACCACCTGGCCAACCTGCTGCTTTGAAGTGTACCTTTATTTCATTCACCTCAATTCTGGGCATAATTTTTGTTTCCCTTGGGAAAAGGTCTCATGTGGAAATTCAACTGTACATAAATGACACAGAAGTAACATCCCAGTGACACTTCCTTTTACTAGAGAAACATATTCTGGATCAAAACATAAATTAAACTCATTCTAAATGACCTTCCTCATGTTGACAGTCACCTCCAGCACAGCTTACCTGAACCTGGTCTAGCCAACAGATCACTAGAGTGAAAAAGTCATGTGAACTCTCCTTGGTTTTGTCTCTTGACAGTGCAGATCTTTCAGAGGAGCAGCTCTTACCTGTAGCAAAGCCCATTTAGATGCTTTCAAGTGTGGACTTTTTCTGAGAGACACTATCTCATGGTTCCTCAGGGACCACTCCCACCCACTGGAGACTAGGCATCCCTTTGGAAAACACAATAGCTCCACATGGACGTGACATTAGGGAACTGTTCAGCACATTTTAGTCTCTTCCAGCTGAAAAAGAGGGAACTACTACAAAACCAACCTCATTGCAGACCAGTGTTGAGGAACCATGGGGTTAAGCATTGCTCCTTCAGGTGTTTTCTCAGCTGAATCAGCCCAGTTTCTTTACCACAGTCAGAAATCCAATGCTTTTTCAAGTCCATGGTGGCTTTTTTTGTAAACACAGGAGCTGTCCAAGAGAGGCCTTGGTGAAAACATCAATCTCCAGGTCATGCAGCTGCCAGTGGTTTACCAAAAAGCAAAGGAGCAAGTCATTAAGATATGGACAACTCTTCAGCCACTGGTGAGTAATGAGAAAGTTACACAATTTCCTCCCTTCATTTATGAATATGATGAGAAGATCTTGAAAAAAATCTCCAAGAGAGTATTGCAAAACATCAAACAAATCTGGAAAGTGACTATTGAAACTGTGATCAAGGTTTCAACCCCAAATTTAGAGCACACACTAATTAGCATTCTCTTTTGACCCCATGCCATTTAAAAAGCGTAAGTGATGCTGAACAAAGGAAAGGAAAAAAAAATCTACCATAAACTGCAAAAAAGGTACAGCAGCTCTGCAGTGCTGAGCTGAATAGACACAACAAAAACTGCAGCATAATTTGGTTCTCATTTATAATCTCTTATCAAAGTCTTCTTTAGACATGAGCAAGACTCCCCACCTTGAAGCTAGTGATTCACATAACGCTCGGCACTTTGGCATTACATGTTTGTAAAAAACAGGTCTCATTTTTAATTTCCTGTTGCTCACTCTGGTGGGAAAACCCCCCCCAGCTTACTGTTCACGTTGGGCTGGCTTCATCCACCACAGTCATCATCCTGGAGCAGTGTGGGAAGAACAAAGGCTACCAAGACAGGGATGCTTGTGGTTTTCACCCAGAAGGTGCCTGCTGCGTGCTAGATGGCCCAGAAAAGATTGAATCTACAATTAATATGAAGACTCTCTGGAAAAACGTTTCAGTGGAAGGGATTGATATCATCTTCTCCAGAGATGCGGGGAGGTAAACACCGCGTGTCGGGGGCTCGGGGGAACGGCAGGAGCAACTCAGTCAGCTCCACCTTGGAGAGTCTTTGCCTTGACTTTCCCTCCAAACAAAATCACTTTGAAGCAAAGTCTTCAGAGGGGCACAAGTACGAAAACTGCCATGAATTTAAATTTTATGTAAAGCAGCTTTCATGAAATGCTACAGCCAGTAGATATTTTTCCATGGATTTGTAAATTCCAAAAGAAACAAGTTCCAACATAGCACACCCTGTGATGAACAACCCCGGTAAACCTCAGCTATTAAGAGAGACTGAAAGCAATACAGACTGGCAGCAGATTTTAATCTATTTCTTCTCAGCTGGGAGGGACAGAAAATGTAAATACATACACTGGAGAACAACAATTACAGGTACCTTTAGAACCAGGTCTGTGATCTTATTATGTGTTCCAGTAGTACTGGAGCAATTTTCTACTGTGCTAGTCTTCATAGAAAAGAAAAAAAGTAGGTTTATTTTTAAATAAAAATCAGTTAATCTTGGCCCTTAAATTCAGGATTTGCACCTGCAAGTTAAAAGGTGGGGTGATAAAGACAAAACCCCTCCAGACTGAGAGATTCTGTGCCTTACACATAAAACTGTGTTACGTGGTTGTAGTTTCCAGCAGGGTGTGTTACCTTTCCCACCCCACAAGAATGCCTGTCTTGTGATTTTTTTATTTAAAGTTCTTTGTGGGTGGGTGTCTGAGAAACCCAACCATCAGATAAGGAACATTTGTTTCTCAAACTTGGTTTATTTCAGCATTTCCTTTATTCACTAAGCAAATATGTTCTTAATAATTTCATAAACCAGATCTGGTTTGGCTACTTAGAATATTTAAATTTAATCAAAGTTTACTGAGCCTTAATTCAGGTTTCTGGTTTTGTTTTGTTTTTAATATTGCAGGTACATCTGTGATTACACCTACTACACTTCTCTGTATTATGGCAATGGAAGAGCAGCTTTCATCCATGTGCCTCCATTATCCAAGTCAGTAACAGCAGACTTTCTAGGAAAAGCATTACAGACCATTATCTTAGCAATGTTAGAACAGTGTGGGGTGGATCATATAGGAAAAAAAAAAAAGATGATTTCTTAGAAAGCAATTCCCTACTTCTTAAATGAAGCAAATCTAAAGATTATTTAAAACCTTCACACAAAAGGATTTTATAGCCCATGTTATTTTCAGTGAAATTTCCTTGCAAAACCCAAACAACTGTTTACATCTCTGAGAAAAAAGCTCGAGGGGAAAAACCAAGTAACCGGCAGTTTGTCTTGCTAAAAATAAGGTTGCTTCAGATTTCAGAAAGTGTGAAACTGGATTTCAAACATTTTAGATGCCTAATCCTAGTTCTGTTGGTTATAAAGACATTAATAAAGACTTGCTGAACCGAGGTGGGCTCTCAGAGCTGTAAGGACTCAGCACTGGATGGATGGAACAGAGATCCCCCAAGCCCATCCCAGTCCAGCTGAAGTGCCCACACAGAACATGTGGGTATGGGAGAAACAGGGGTCCTGGTATGTGAAGTTCTACAATTCCCCCTCCCTGACCTGCTGTAAATGCTGCTTTCCCCATCAGCAACGGGCTGTGAACCCAGGGGGACTTCCAAGTACAGAGAAAACTGGAGTCCAGCAGGATCTGGAATGCTCTTGGTAATTTCAGTTTCAGCCTGAAACCACCACTAACCCCAAATTCTCAGTGCCTGTCCCAAAGAAAAACACCACAGTCCTTCCACAGAGCACAGCCCAAAAACAAGTTTTCAGCAGGACAGGTCATGGCTATTCAGGGACTGACACATCAAAATCCAACAGCCAACCTGTCCCAGGAAAGGCAATCCTGAAGCACTGTGCTGTGGGAAGGGCACATGATGTTACTGACAAAACAGGCACCAAATGAGATCCCACATGGTAAAACTTGGGATCAGACCCCTCCACATCCCAAACAGCTCCACAGAGAATTGCTGTGCCATGGAAGCTGGGTACCACAGGGGGTTACAGCACTGCCCCTCAGCACACAGGGAATGCCCCCACACACCCCCTCCTCCACAATCCTGCTACTGCCAGAACACAGGGACGAGATGCAGTTAGCTGGGATTTTTCTAAGTCAGTCACTAGAAAAGGACAGCAGCAGCTTCACCTGGACACCTGGGATTTCTCCAGGGAAACAAAAGCCTGCTCCTCAAGCATCACGTCAGTACAACGGACAAGAGACAAATGTAACAGCACAGGCAGCTGACGAGGCTTTGGCCACCATCGTGCCTTGTTTTAGTCAACACGCTGATGACAAGAGCCTGAGGAACTGGACCTGCCAAGATAATCCCAGTCTTCTCCCCACTGTCTTTCCCAATGCCGCTGCAGAAGGCTGATAACCAGGTGGCTGCCTGAATGCCTCACCTGTGGATTGCTGTGTGGGTAAAAATAAGTGGATTTTCCTCAAATAACAAACAATGCTCACCTTATTCAGAGGACTCACCCTGCAAAACACTGCTCAAATCTCACCAAGAAGGCTCCACACACCCTCAGTGCCACTGCACGACAATACTTCTGATTCCAACCCAGCAATGGCAGTACTGACCCCTACTAAAATATATTCAGAGTAGCTTAATTAAATGCAGCCAATAAGAAAACCAGAGAAACTTTACTCTTAGTTTTCTAACCTGTACTTGCTTTCTGGAAGGAGCAACAAATTCAGAAACAGGCAAATGCATACAGAATTCTTTTATTTAACTTAAATCATGTAGTACTGAAACTACTAGAAAAAAGCAGAGTAAGAGAAACTAAAGGAGCCTTAGCTTCAGCCATTCAAAATAGACAAAGTTTCTTCTTTTCATAATGTAAAGAATCCCGAGTATATCGCAATAACAGGAATAAATTCTTACAACAGAATATACAAAAACATTTTGAATTTTTTTTTTATCTACTGATTCATTTTAATATAAACACAGGAATTTCTTTAGGAATAATTTATACACAGCAAGTCTTTTTATGTAATAAATTGGCCATGTTATTGTTTAATTTTCTCTTAAAAAAATTTAAACAAGAAAAATTGGAAAATGTATTTGCAACTGCATCCATTCCTTAGCACTTTCTAGTTTTGTTTTTGTCCCAGAGGTAGACAAACTCTGGCCAATCCTTTCATCTCAAACCTCACTGGTTCGGAAAACAGAAGAAGTGGAAGGTGTCCCTGTCCCCGGCAGAGGGGTTGGATCTTCAATATCCTTAAATAAAAATAAATAGGGACCCTGCCTTGCTCATTTCAACCAACGCTTCCAATGGTCCTCAACAGCTTTAGAGGCTGCACACAAACTTTTAAAGTGATAAGAGATTTGCAAAGAGTTCTTCAACAGCAGTTATGAAAACCATCTTCCCTCTTTCTCTCACGCAGTCACTTCCTTCAAATCACACGGAGCAGAGGTGCTGAACAGCACAGGTGAGCCTGGGGAGCAGTTGCAAACCTGTTCTGTTTCCCCGACCAGTGAGGTTCTTGTAATCCAAAAGGTAACTGCCCTAGACAGTAAAGTGAAATGACCAGGGTAAGATGATCCCACCCCAACCAGAGGGCTCTGGAAGACCAGGATACTGAAGATACAGAACATTTTCCCAACTCCTTTACTCACTTGCTGTATGGTGGGACACAAAGCTTGGGCGGGAAGGGGGAGAGGGACAAGCCATGAGTTGGACAAGTCAGCGATCCTTTTTGGCATATTGTAAAGCTAACTAGTAAACTGGTACCATGGAAAAACTGATCACAGACAGACACACCCACACACAGACACAGAAAAGTGCCCTTAAATTATATTTTAGGCATTTATAAACTACAAACATTTTATAAAATTATTCTATGTACTTACAAATGCAATGAAACATTTAATTAGTTCTTGTAAACCAGATCTTCGTCAACTGACTACCCGTAATCTACTGGACTTAAAGCCCTATTGAAAATGCTAATTAATGGTTACTAATCAACAGAACGCATACCAAAAAAAATATATGAGCACACACGCAAATGCACGCACACAAACTAGGGAAGTTCTAAGGTACTTGCAGAACAGACCAGCTGTGGGTGAGACAGATCCATACAGACCGATGACAACCACTGCCATGCTCCTGGGAACGAATTCCCCGCTCCAGCTGCCACGTCCGGAGGTTTGCGTACAAGCACCAATGGGGACACCTGAGCTCTGGTGCTGTCCCACAGATTAAGCTCAGGAAAACTACCTCAAGCTTCTGCCAAGCCCTGTGTCTCCAGATCCCCATTGCCATGTCCTGTTTTCAGGTGTCTCCCCACAAACACATCTCCGTGCTGACTGACGCAGCTGCTCGAGGTCAGGGGCTGTTCAGCACCTCCGAGCAGCTGCTTTCTGAACCGAGGTGTCCTTCCTGCCTACTTGAGTTCTGTATCTTCAGCACCCCTGGCCACTTGGGTTGTTTCTACACATCGTTCTCCAATCCTTGTCTGCACATCTACTCATGGGTTAAGTTGCAATATCTGGCTTTATCACTGGTTAGTAAGGAGTGGATCCCTTGCACCTTCCTCCACTGTTGTTCAGCCCAGTGATTGAATACACGGTTGACAAACAAAATAAAGAAAACAGGAAACAAGTGTTACTTGTACTAATGGAATGAAAAGGGTTTAAATATATATATCTATATTATAGATATACATATGTAGGTATATATATATGTATATATAGATATATATGTATGGAGTTACACCAACAATAGGAGTGTTGTTCACTTAGTCTCGGATCATACCGAGCACCCCTCAGCAGATCCCAGAGGACCTGACAGCAGCTCCCTCTGGTCACCAGTCATCCTGGGCAAGCTGGGCCTTCTTTTTGTTTTAAGAGACCAAGAGGAGCATCAGTGTGACCGTGCCTAGAACCACAGAGCACTTGGAGCCAGCTGGGAGGGGCAGAGGCATCGCACTGACGGAGCCGCGGTGCTGGCCCGGCCCCACGCCTTCCACCGCGCTCGGCTGCTGTGCCTTTGTGTCGTCCCCCCAAAACAGCATCTGATTTACTCAGGAATCACGTTCCTTTGCAACCAAAGCACCTCCTGTGCCCCCGAGAGCTCTGCAGTGTGGGGCAGGTGAGAGCCATGGCCGGGCCCTGCAGTCACAGCCGCCTGCTCCCCACGGCGACGCCAACTCCTTATCCCACTGCATCCAAACATCTCGGTACCATCCGGCAAAACACTGGGTTTCAGGGCTGGGTGGGCTTTTGTTTTCAATTTATAAACAAACTGGATTACTTGAACTTTATTCAAACATTGCTGAAGTTCTAAATAAATTTTCCATACCAGACAAGCCAGTGGTCTCAGGGAAGAACAACATTACAAACCATATTATGACTCTATCAAGCCAACATTAATTCTCAGTTGTTCACATGCACAAACAACTCGATTTACTGTCCAAGGGAAGTCTGCATGAAAAACCCATGTGAATAAAGCTATTCAAAATGCACAAAACACAACAAAAAAAAGCTATGGAAACAAACAGAACAAAAAAGGAATTAAGCTTGAATTGCAAACACAGAACGCAATGGTATCATGAAGGTGGTTTGGTCCAGGAGAGCTGACTGCCATCACACACATGTATGTGAGGCCCTGTGACTGTCTTCTACTGAAGTGCTTTTTGAAATGTTTCTCGTGATGCTACGCCATTAGTGTTTCTTCCTAATGCATTGTAAAACCACCTACATACAATTCTACAAACCAGTAACTCGGACAGTTTTAACAAAACCCTCCCAGCCAGCTGAAAGATCTGAGGATCTCCAGTTGTGGTAATCAATATGTGCAAGGGAGGGGAACAACCACTGCACCCAAAGGGCACTGGAACATAATCAAACATGGAAAACCAAACCCATCTAATGAAAACTTCCAATTTTGCTGGTTTCTCAGGACTAGGGAGAAATGCTCCCTCCAAAGACAAACTGTCAGAATTAACCACAGCACTGTGTATCCAAGAGGCCATGTACAACTCCAAGCACCACATTACTCAGATACCACAACCAACACCTGCAGGAACAGCTGCCAGAGCTGGAAAAAGGGAAACATTATACATCAAATTCATGGCAAGCTCATGTTAGTCCTGTGTGCTTGTAAACCAGTTACACGCTGTCAGAGGGCAGTTAAAATTTGATGGCTGGTCCATCAGAATCCACAGTTATAAGGCGTATAAACAGGGGAAGAAAAGGGAACTGACTTTTTACTGGCACATTAAAAGAAACCAATTCAATATTAGTTTGGGGGAAAAAAATTAAAAAAAAAAAAAAAATCAGTGCTCTCATCAAACAGAAGCAGCAAAGACCCAAAGCTGTAAACTCGATCTAGCAGGATCATCAGGCAGCCTGTGACAGGTTTTTTGGTCAAGAAAGTGATGCTATCGCTGTACGAGCCAATTTATTTTTGGGTTCTGATTCAGCCAAATGTCTTTCTGGTGCTTGTGACATCTGAGCAAGAACTGGTAGGAATGACTTAGCCCATTCTACAGGACAAACAGAAAGACCATTCCCTTTAGTGTTTCCTCTGGACCTCCAAACATTGTAAACAGTTGATTTCTGTAACAGATTTCAGCAAATACTCACAATTTGAAGTCCCCGTATCAGGTCACCTACATTTCCACTCCTCCAAACATGCAGCATTTTGCTGCTGACCCACGGACTGCTGTGACAGCATATTAAAAAGCCTCTGTGTTTCCTTGAAGAATGGTCACCCTAAGTCAGACAACTCTTGGATTTCTCCTCACAATAACGAATCTGATGCAAAAAGTTGGAGAAACCCCTTGGAATTGCGGCAAATATTCTGAAGTGACCCTTTGTGACAGGCAGTGATTGTTCCCCTCCAGAACCTAGAGCATGTGGTATATGGAGTGAGAGGTTACCAGTATCAACGGCATTTATTGGCTGCTGAGAAATGTGAGATGTATTCTTTTTATATACACACATATAAAAAAATAAGAGTGAGGTAGATAAATGTTTGAAAAAAAAAATCAAAAACTGTCCCCCTGTCATACTCTAAAACCCTTATCTTAGTATTTAAATTCGTTATGGGGCATCTCTACAGTGATTTAAACTGATATCACAAAAATAAATAAAAAATCCTACATAGAATACCTTCTTAATTAACTTTTTTGTCTTTTTCATTTTTAAAAGGGAAAAATAACTACGGGACAGAGGCAAGAGAAGATAATGGGACCTAAACTACACAAGCAAAAAGCACTACAAACTTTTTAAAATCTCCAGTCAAAACTAGCAATCAGTATATTTTAATTCACTGTTCTTACTCAAAAGATTTGAACGTTTCCATCCCAGAACCACCTCTTCCTGCCATCGTTTGGTTGGATCAGTGCTAAACAAAGGCCCAGACACTGGAACTAAGGTAAGATGAGCAACTGGTGCGACTCCTTGGTTGTCGACTTCCTGACGGCCCCTCCTTCCCCTCTCACCAAGGCTTCTGCAACTGAGCAAACAAGCTCACTCGTTTTCTTTTGTTCTGAGGTTTGGTCTATGATTTAAGCCACAAGCTTGGACTTGTACAGGTTTCCATAGCTGCCAACACTTCACCGTTTGCCAGCCGAGCTGCTGGCCCCAGCTCTGTGCTTTCCACCCAGCTCCACAGAAATGGGGTGGTGGCTTCGTTTGGTTGGTGCTTGTTTTCCTCACCAGGGGTTTGAACTGCAGCCCAGGTGCCCTCCCAGGAGGGTTTCCCTCCATGAGAGCTTTCCCATCAGGAAGGAGAAGAGCTGGGGTTGGCTGGAGCCAGGTGTTCAGTGGCCATCCTAGGAATGCCTGGCATCATCGCCAGCTGCACCTGGCATAGCTCTTGTTCACAGGGTGGGAGGGCTAAATAGTCTTTTTACAGATCAGTGACCCAAAAGCCTGTTTGTCTGCTGTTGTACCCAACAAATAATTTAAAAAGAATACATGTGTGTGTGTGTCTGTGTGGGGATGGGCGGGTGGGGGGGGGTGTGCCACGACCAAAACAAGCGGGGAGGGGACGAGGGGTAGGACCCTTGTACAACAATGAATATAAACATTGAACAAGAATGTACTAAATATTTAACCTTTTGTTTCTGACCTGAGTTTGTATCATGCCTTGCACTGTAAGAGACTCCCGTGCTGCCTGGGCAGAGGTTAGTGGGAAGGAAGGAAAACTGGGGCTTAAAAACACCACACCACAGCACTGCCAGAGTGTTCCCGTGCGGGGTGTCCCTTCTTTCTCCGTGTCCCCCTCAAAAGCCCTGTAAGCCCACACAGCCAAGATGCTGTAAAACAACTAATGGGAAAAAAAATAAAATAAAATTAAATTAAAAAAAAAAAAGGAAAGAAAAAAAAAAAAAAGGAGGAAATGTATTTATAAAAAGGCATTAAACAGTTCATGGCAATTCAAGGTAGCGGTTACCGGGAAGGAGGAAGTAAAGGTTACACACTATAGTACAAAGCATAAGAAAATTTGTTGAAGTGGAAGGGAAGGGAAAGGAGGGCAGACCTGAAGGTTTTCATAGATTAAATCCACAAAGATAAAGAACAAAAAAAATAGCAGCTTTTTTCTGTACAGACATATAGATGAGTATCTGAACCGTAAAAAAGTTATAAAAGTGACACAAAAGACAATGTGTATGCAAATGATCCATGGTCTAACATAGAACTGCAAGACCCTTCGAGAAGTCTTAATAATAAAGAGAAAAGGTCAACAAAGCATCATATACTTGAATCCGGTTACTGCTTTTTTTTGTCTTCTCCAATTTATGTTTCTAGGTGTTTTTCCTCGCCAGCCTGTGGAGGAAGGACAGGCTGCACCGATGGAGATCTCGGCCGCTTAGGTTCAGGTTTCTCATAATTCATTTTTGGCGTGCGGTTGACTTTTTTTGTACGAAATGCACGTGTTTGTTTAGCTCACCACTGCCAGTTTTGTCCAGAATGGGATAGGGACAGGGGTGGAGGGAGGGCTGGTTCTTTACCCCATCCCTTTTATCTTCTCCATCACAAGAAAAAAAAAAAAATCACATTTTGTCCAGTTTTGAAAAAAGATCTAGACAATTTGATTTTTTTTTCTAATTTTTTTTTTTTTTTTAAATACCAGTGCATGACTGAATAGAACTTATTGGTCAGGATCTCTTTTGAACAGAGCAGTTGATTACTGTGCTCCTTCCACGCCTACAAAAAGAACAAAAAAAAAAAAAAGAAAACGAAAACAAAAAACAAAGAGTTCATTTTTTTGGCAAAATTTGGCAGCGTTGAAAATGGTAACAGCCTTGGACGAATGATGGCCCTTTTGTATTCTTTTACGTGTTCCTAAAAAGATTAAAGAGCAACATTAAAAATCCAGTCTTTTTTAGTTTAGTTTTTTTTCGTGTGTGTGGTTTTTTTTGTTTGTTTGTGGTTTTTTTTTATAAAGACCTACAGTGTTAGGCAGGTGCTTGCAGGGGTACTGGGAACCACCTGGCCTGCGATATCTTTGATCTGATAAAAGTGCTGTACGGTTGAACTTGCACGCAGATATGTTTCCCATTATGAAGCAAAAAGAGAGACAGAAAGAAAGAGAAAAGAAGAGAGAGGAAAGAGAAGAGAGAGAGAGAGAGAGAGAGACATCAGATCTCAAGTTTTCTGTTGCTATTAAGTGTTAACATTAAGAGTTTTTAGAAGGCCAACTGTGTGCCCCATGACTGGAGTCCTTGACTGAAACAAACATCTGCTTGCATATCGAAAAAAAGAAAAATACGGCAACTTGTTTACTGAAAAAAGGGTTCTCCCAAGTGCAGCTATGGCAGTTCTGAAGATCCACTGAGGTACAGTAGGCTTTTGAATATATTGTGATTTTTCCTTTCTTTCTTCCCCCAATGCCTGTGTTTCTCTGGGCGGTGCTCCTGCGGGGCTCTGAGGATCAGCAGGCCGACGACTGGGGCAGGGGCAGGGCCCTCTCGTTCTTGCGGCCCCCGTTCATGTGCGCGTACGGCTGTCGCTCCTCGAAGCTGGCCCGGAGCACCACCACGCCGGGGCCGTTCTCGGCTTTGTGTCCTGAGTGCTTGTCAGTGGGTTGGAGGGTGGAGGAGGGATCTAAAGGAATGCTCTCCATGTTCTCAGTCTCCAGGTCAAGCTCCTCTGTGTCCGGAGGCTTGTTCTCCTCACTGTAGAAGAAGGAGACCTCTTTGAAGGCTGGGTCCAGCTCGTCTTTGATGCTACCGATGATTTCCAGGAAGGAGGGTCTCATTTTCGGGTTGTACTGCCAGCACATGCGCATCAGTTCAAACCTGGGCGAGAAACACACAGGGAAAAGCATTTACTGAGGTGTTCTATGAGCCCTGACTGGAGTGGACCACACGGTTCAAAACATCATTCCATTCTGACGGGAGACAAAGTGCTGAGATTCCTGTGCCACATTTCAACCTCCCTTCTAATCACCCTTTTACTGCTGTAACTCCCACCTCACCCTTCTCCGCTCCCTCTCACACACCTGCCCATACCTGTTACCTGACATCCAGAACCATTTCATACTTTAATTCCGACCTGATATTTCTCCTTTTCCTCCAAAGTACCCTGTGCTCACTCGGCCATAAGTCACGTGATTGTGCCTCTCGGAGGATCTTTTCCAAACCACCGATCCCACCCCATCAATACTGCCTTGGAAAAAAATTAAAATAGGAAATACACACAAGGTAAAGCACTGTTTTTTTTCCCCTGAAAGAAGAAAATTACATTCAAATTAATTGTAATCCCCAGCAGACATTTTCCAATCTCAAAGACACTCTCTAATCTTTTTATTTTAAAAGTAGGTTGTTTTCATTTACGGCCAGGGATGCATTAATATTTCACGGAGTGTGAGATCATCTGTTTAAGCACATCCATGATTAGATCTGTACAATGTCCCATGCTGGCAAAACAAAACCACAAAATGAAACAGTAATACAGACATAATGAAAACAGCATTTTCATGACACAGCAAAATTGGATATTCCCAGGAGATCGCCCTGAGCTTTAAACACAACACAAGAAAGGATTTCACTGTCTGTGAAGGTGGAATAGGGATGTCTTCTGTTAGCACAGTGCAGTAATAGGACAAATTTAAATAAGAAAAGGAAGATTAGCATTAATTCTTCGAGCCAATCCTCTGTGTACACAGTGCTCAGAGGAACACGCTGTGTGGAGGAAGTCACTGCTGGCCAAAACTACTACTCTGTGCTAGAGTAAGAATGGAGCTAAAAATAAAATAGAGCAAAGAAAGCTCTCTCATTTAAGGTGACACACTGGAGAATCCTTCGTGTCCTGACTTATCTGCCAGCACTGGGACCTGCAGCCCCAGTGAGATCCCCCTGGCTTGCTGGGGTTCACTTCCCACCTCTGCCAGCCTTCCCTCAAGCCAGGTCACATCACCTTTTAGCTTTAATTCTTCAGAACAGCAATACCCTATTCCAAACTTCCTCATGTTTTCAGAGCGTAAACAAGCAATTCTATTTGATCCTTTAATTAGAGCTCTCACTGCCTTGTGCCCTCAGTTCACCAGATCTCTGCGTCAGTGGGGAAAGATTTTTTTTTAGATTAGAAAGAAAACAAACAAATGAACAAAAATTCACTCTCTTTTTGAATAGCACCCCAGTCCCTTCCAGAGTAATGGCCCTGTTCTAGGAGAAACCTTCCAACAGGACTGTCACCGAGCTGGAAGACCCTGGGCTCTGCAGGCTGTTGCTGTGCACAGGTTTGGAGAGTCCGGGACCCCTGTCCTGGAACAAAACCACAGCAAAGAAACCCCATCCCCAGAAATCTGGGAAATTGGAAAATCCTGCAGGATCTCCACTGTGTTCTGAGCTGACTGAGGCAGCAGGGAGAGGGCAAGCGGCCGTGTTTGGGCTGCAAACACCACTGAGTGCTTTGACCAAACCCAAAGCAATCGGCGCTGAAGTGCATCTCAAGTCCCCAATCTTCCTGCCAGAGCTCCGCTGGCACAGCTCCCCGTGAGCAAACGTCAGCCACCTGAGAATGGCCTTGTGACACCCAACAAGGAGCTGGCAAAACCAGTCTGTGCTGGGAGCACTCCCCGGGTACTCAATGCTGCATTGTAACCGCACGTAGACACGTAAACACCGCTCGGCCAGCGCCGGGTTTTGAGCCTTTAAAAAGCCTCTCAGAGCAAAAGCAAAGCCAAGCTATAAAACTGCACCGTACCCTCACCCACGAGAGGGGAGGGAAGGCTTGAGACATAAATATATAAAATCCATTTCTGTTACTTCACTGCTGTTTCCTTTCCAGCTGACTGCTGCGTCCCTGAATAGAAGCGCTGGCTGGAGCCAGGAACACTGGATATTCACTGGCACTGTGCCTCGAGGCCTAAGGGCAATGCTAAGGAGATACCACAAGCAGCGGAGTAATGCATGTGACATCAGCACAAACAAGGACATGTGATGTTTCTTTTAAGCCATTCCAGATTTAAAAACCCTACAGAGTTCCCATAAAAGGATTTTTTTTTTCTTTTTAACTCTGTGTGTCCGCAGACCTTGTTTACATTATCTTAAACAAAACAGAAACCTTTCCAGTAGACAAGAGGAGAATTTACAGGCTGTTAATAGAACCTGAGCAGATTTATAAAGTACGTTCCTGACTGGTGGCAAGTGAGCTCCAGGGAGCTGGAGGCACCGTCATGGGACAGGGGAATAGCCAGCATCCCTCTGTGCATCTTTTGCTCAAAGAACTGAGCAGAAAATAAATTCTGTTTTGCACTGAGACAATACAAAACAGAAAATGGAAAGTTCCTATAGATGCTGAATTCCATTTGTGCTTTGCATTAGGCTTGATTTGGTGGGGAAAAGCGAAAGGACCTCTCCTCCCTGCTGGTGGTGCCTGCTGACAGTCCCTCTGCAGAGCAGACCCCGGGTTCTACCCAGGAACAAAGGGAAATCAGCACTGCGTAAATAGTCTCCTCATCTACAATGCATGTGGGGGAAGCAATTCTGCTTCAAAAACAGAGTGGAATTCCAGCCTCCACAACTTTTAAAAGCCCCATGGGAACACGCCGTCTGAGAGCTTCAGCTGTACCCAAGCTCCAGCCACGCAGCCGTCACCTGATGAGCGGTGCCATAACAATGGGAGGACATAAAAACATCACTTGGTGCACAGGAAGAGGAGAAAAACAGCAAAGCTTCTCCTGGCACTGTCTTACTGAACCATCTGTCTCATTGCATGGTTCTGTCTGCAAAACCACGCCAGCTATGCCAAGAGGGTGTAGCACAAACACAACTGAGTCTTGTTTCACCCTGTGCAAGAGTAAAAAGACTCCAGAAATACCGTCCCCTTTGTGCTTTGCCCTTTTTCACAGGGATTTACCACCTCTGAACCACAGGACAACCACACCATAAAATCCCCCCTTTGCACAAGCATCTGACAAACCAAACTGCAGAACAGAACCTCTGCAGCTCCTGCTGGAAGCTCCTGATTCACTGCTGAAGGGGTCAGGAGAGCACAGGCACCGACAAGCACGACCAGGAGACATGGAGCATCCAAGCCTGCCTGCACTATGAGCATGTGGGGGGAACACGAGGTCTTGAGGAGAACTGCTCTGTGGTTGGAGGGTGCACAGCGCTCACAGCACCCACACAGTTCAAAACAGTGGATTTGGTGACAGCAAAACTCTCCTCTCTGTTCTCATCTACACTTCCCCACAGCAGTTACCTCCTCCACCTGTCCAGGAGGTTTCTCCATGTCAGCACACTCCCCTCTCCTTACAGACAGGTCCCCTGGTGTTCTGACCATAATTCCACTGGTGTTCTCACCATAATTTTAGTTGTTTCCAAGTCAAGCTAATTTAAAAAACAAAGTACCTCTGCCTTTGTAGCTACCACGTGAGACAAAGGAACACAGTTCCTGGCTCCCTCTCTCACCTGCTTCCAGACAACACCAAGCCCAAATAACTGATCTCCCTGCAGCAGGTGGGCTTTGCTTTCAGGACATCTTGAGAGTCAATATTAAAGTATCACAGACCAGTCTCCACCAGTAAGAATTTGTGCTTTCTAAAAGACACCTTCCACTGGCACAGACATGCCAAGAAACCTGTCTTTAAGCAGAATCTTTTGGTAACCTCCACAAAAAAGAAGATCCCTTATTTTACAAACGGTTTTATAAAGCAGTGGCCTGGAACATGGTGGGATGTCTGGCAAGATCCATATGGAATTTCAGGGCTCTTTGTTACAAGCACCTCTCTGCCCATTCCCTAATTTTCTTTTAGGTCCCTGGTAGCTGAGAGGGGACAGGACCTGTGCCTACAGCCCAGGTGTCTGACCCTGCCCACAGCCACACGTGTGAGGGGGACGACTGGCAGGAGTTGTCAGGTCACCGAGTGTGGCACAGCATTGTTAAAGCATCCTGGGATAACGGGGTGGAGGACAGGGAAAGGAGGGAAAACACAACAGTAACACAAAAGACATTCTTTGAATGCCAAATGCCTGTGCAGGGAACAAAGGTGAAGGTTATTCCTGGAGCTCCCAACTGTTATTCCTAAAACAGCCTATTTGAATTTCAGCAGATTTGGATGTCTGTCCTAAAACAAAGACAAAACAGGCTGAAAGAGAGCTAAAGCAAGTCACAATAAGGTCAATACATTCTATTTTTTTTTCATTTTGGACATTTTATACTCAACTGTGTCAAACAAACCCCACCACTAAAGCGAGCGCACCTTGGTTCTGAGTTTAGCCCCATTCCTTATTCTGAAGGAGTGAAGCAGCTCCATTCAAAGGCAGATTTTTTTTATTGTGCACCTCTGCACCATGAGGCTGAGTCCTACAGCCAAAACTAACCTCTGAACAGCTCCTTCCTCAGAATCAGCACAAAACAGGCCTTTGCTGTTGCACCCCAGTGCAAAGATCTGCCCTGCCAGACTTTAACCAAGTTCTCCCAGCTCACAAGCCAGGACCCTGAGAGTGGATTCATCCAGTAGCAACAGCCAGGAGCAGAGGAGATTTGCTGAGGAGGGGGAGGACAGAGAGCTGGGTGGGCTGCAGTAGGGAGAGCTTCAGCTTCTGTCAGTGCCTCCCCTCCCACCCCTGTGCTCATACCACACGTGCCCCAGTTAGTGAGGAATTTCTAAAGCTGAATCTCTCCCCGAGTTTGTTCTCACTGCAGAGGTGTTTGTCCCTGTGGACTCTGATCCTGTCACACACCCTGTTCGTTCTCCCCCCATTACACAGCTCCGACCATGTTAAACAATGCCCAGTCAATCGACTGCCAGGAATTCTCCCCAGCATCGTGAAAGGGAAGGAATGTGAAACCAAGGAATCACATGGCAGCTACACCTCCCCCTGCATATACCACCCACCCCCCTCAAACAACAAAACAACACTGCCTGTCATCTGAAACCGCAGCCAGGCTCCAGCCAAAAAAGCTATTTTCCTAAGAATCCCAAGCAGCTGAGGCCCTTAAGTGATTGTATCCCTTCTGTGGGCCTCCAACAAATTTCAATAACTGCAAGACGCAGTATTTCCTTCCCAAAAGTCAGTTTGGGAAGTATATCAAAGCAATAAAGTCTGAACAACTGAAACTGCTGTACACAAAGGCCAGCAGAAGTATTTCAGCAATGTAAAGCTAAAAACTGAAGCTGCTGCACTGCACACCCTCTGCTGCTGCGAGGCTTTGGGTCGATGCTGGGGCAGGGAGAGGTTTTTCTGTGAAAAAACACTTTCTGTGTTTTCAGGGAAGGAAACTGTTTGCAGGGGGGATTTGTTTATCTCCATGGGGTGAGTGCTGTGAGTGAAACAGCAGATCCAACGAGGCTTCCGACAGAGGAAGGATACACTGATTTATCTGTATGCTGAACTAAAAAGTTGAATTCCAGTGTTTATGCACATCTCAGCTTGTCCCAGGCTCTTTTCTCTCTTTATGCTCAACAGAATTACTTTAAGCAGAAGAGACAAGGTTTAGGTACAGAGTCTCCCACTGTAGCAAATATTGCTTATGAGCTTTATAAAGTCTAATTTTATTCAAGAACTCCAAGATTGTGCTTTGTTACCTTATCAGAGGAGAAGGATAGCCTAAAGTGAGATTCTGGCTTTCTGGAATGTCTGACTACTACAAAATACTGGATTGACAGAGACTGTTTGAGCAGCACCTCCAGTGACTCGCACTCCTTAACAGCCCCTCCTGTGGCAGATGGGGAAGAGCAGGCACCGAAGGGATCAGGAAGAATGAGCTGTGCAGGGAGGAGACAGTGGTGGCAGTGGCACTTACAGCATGTCAGGGCAGTTGTCTGGTTTCTCCAGCAGCCCCCCCTCCATCACGAAGCGAAGCACCTGCTCGTTGGTCATGCCCTGGTACGGCTGCTCTGCCAGCGTCGCGATCTCCCACAGCACCACCCCGAACGACCTGCAACAGAGAGCACAGCTTGAGGAGCCTGAGCCATCTCTACAAAACACAAGGGGGGGATTTCTTAACTGATGCTCAGCAGTAGGTGTCCATGGGTGTTTTCTTTTAACACAGAACTCCCACTGCTCAAAAAGCAACGCAGCCGTGCTGACAGTCACAGCACCGTGGACTTCAAACACCTCGGGTGGTGTCTCAGTGGTGAGAAGGGCTCCCAGTTCTGAATGACTCTTCAGAACAGCCTCTGTAAGCAAAGACTGGCACAATTCCATCCCCACTTTTCACACCACAGTCTGCAGCCCAGAGCTGGTCATGTTTATGATGGTTCAGTGGTCCAGCATTACTTGGCTACACCAGTTCTGCTCAGGTCCATCAGTAAAAAAGCCACCACCGGCTCAATGCACCGACCAGGAGCCTCCTGACTCAGAGGAGACTGAAGCTCTGAGCTTGTCTGGAGAATCAGCTCAGATCCCATCTCCCTTTAGAGTCCAGACTTTAGATGCACTGCCAGGTGGGAAGAAGGGAAGAACAGTGGAGATGGGAAAAGGAAAGGTACAGGTAAGGGGGAAAAAAATGTAAAAATTAAAAAATCCTATCCTATTCTATTCTGTTCTATCCTATCTCCATGGTTGCTGTAGAGCTCAGGTTGGACACACACCTGACCATTGAAGTCTGCAGTAAGATCTTTGTGTGGCTGGGGGCAGGGAATCAAACCTTCTAAGCAGTGGAGAAGTTGCAGAGACTTTAAATTAAGCTTGGCAAGCTTTCCCCCAAGCCACAGAGACAGCAAGAAAAAAATCTGTACACTTAATACACTAAACTCCAAATCTTCATGTAACACATCTCAGGTACTCCTGATAGTGGCTGAGAAGGCAGGAACACAGAACTGTAAGCTCTCGTTCCAGTGCAAGCTGCTTTTCATCACTTGAGTCACACAAATCCGCTTGAAAAGCTGCATTTTCCCTCACTGCTCCACAGGCTGAGAGAGCCAGACAGCAAACACACACCACCCCCTGGGCATCTCACCTGCCTCACCACCCACAGCCAGCAAACCAAACAGCCTCCACTGCCCAGGCACAAAAACACTGCTTGGGTAATGCCTTCCATTTATCCCTCTGCTTTGGTTTCTGCCACATTCTAAGTTAAAGGTGCAAAGTCAGGATCATACAGCAGCAACAAACCCAATTTTTGGAAAAGACACAGAAGAAACATGAACATTCTCCAGCCTCTTGTACCAAGACCCCAATTTGCTGTTTTAAGCAGCAGAACGTTAAAGCCTCCAGGAAAAACTCAGTTACCCCTTTTGCAACATGTATGTAACTATGTTCTTGAAACAGAGCTTCCAGCTCCTTCCAGATAACTCCAAAGGACAGCAGAAGTGAAAAAAAAGAAGTTTCTCTAATAATAGGAATTGATTACTGGCAAAAGAAGATAAGCAGAGTTTTGTAATTGGGTAGTTTGGACGCAAGTATTGACACTTTCTAAAAATATCTCCATTTAAAATTAGTTTATTGAGCAGACATGGCTCAAATTGTCTGCACTGCACAGAAGAGGCTCTACTTTTAGAGCTGCTGGGCAAAAGGAGGAAAATCTCGCTGCTGTCTGAGTTGTGTGGCTGAACTGCTGAGTCAAGCCGGGAGAAAAACACGTAGTTCCACCGGGGTGTTGTTACGAAAACAGGAGTCCGCTGTCATTAGCTGGTTATGGCTGAGTGGTTTTATCTTTCAGCTATGCCCAGGATCTAAACTGGTTTGCCAGAAGCCACAAACAGCCTTACAATTGTTTGCCTTTCAGGGGAGGGAGAGACAGAGGGTCAACGGAACGTTTTGGTGCCTTTGAAGCTACTTTGATCGCTGCAGGAATAATGAGGACAAGTCTTGCACACCTACTCATCTTATTATCCCAACTCATAAACTCAGGTTGCTCCTTCCAGGCAACTACCAGCTCTGAAAGAATGCAAGATGCTGAGGACTTATTTATAGAAATCCACCCTCACCCTGAAGAGTATTACATTAGTTTTAAAATGTCCTCCTTCCCTAACTACAACAAAAACAGTCCTGTCTAATTACCTCATTCTTCAGCCTGAAAAGCAATAAAAGAATGAACTGCTAAAGCTCCACCCTTCAAACCTCCAGACACTCTTGCAGTTTGCCATTTCACCTTACAGCTTATAAATCCTGGGCTCTGATCACTCTCACAGTTTGTCTTTTTGATATCTTGGCTTCCAGAACTGATCTCGAAGAACATGTCACAATATCCGACCAAAAAAACCCAGGAAAAACAATCTCAACCTTCTTTTTTTTTCTTCACAATTTAATGCAAATAAATGGCTCCCAGAACAGCCAAGCTCTATGGTTTACACGGAGCACTTAAAAATCTGAACCAATACAAGGATTCAGGTAATTTTTCCTGGCATGGAGACACCTTCAATGTATTATAGTGTCTGGTCTAAAAGTTACTGAGAAGTAACTTGGACTGATCCTTTTAGCCATAAGCAGATCAAGGAAATAGTAAGGATTTCATGACAGTGATAAGTCAAGCTCCTGCTACATTTGGAATATGGATTGAAATTCTCTGTAGCTGTGGATACACATTCTAAACAAACTGCAAATTTTGCACATTAAGTCAGTTGTTTTGTGCCTCCAGAAAGTGCATCTCTGTGAACCAAATTTTCAGAGCAAATCACTTCTAACAATTAAGATGTGAAACCATCCCAAAGAAGAACTGTCTGAAATACCCATGAGTGCTGTGGACCATCTCTCCATAAAACAATTTTTTTCCTTTCTATGCTTTCAAGTAAAAATCTGTCAGATTTTCCTGCTCCTTCCCTTAAGTATTCCAACCTTGTAACAAGTAAACTAACTTTCCAGGTCAGGATATTTCACTCAGACCGTCCCACTGATCAACTGCAATGCTGTTTGCACAACCCTGCTTTGGACTGAATGACAGACAAATACCAAGTCATGGAATCACAGGATTGTTTGGGTTGGAAGGGACCTTACAGATCATCTCATTCCAACTCCCTCTCACCTTCCTCTAGACCAGCTTGCTCCAAGCCCTGTCCAACCTGGCCTTGGACACTTCCAGGGATGGGGTAGCCACAGTTGCTCTGGGCAATGTCTGCCAGGGCCTCACCACGTTCATAGGATTGGATATTAGGATTTCTTCCTAACCCTACTCTTCTTCCTCGTCAGCATTGAAGGGAGCACTCACGTACTTCCTACAAGTACAGCACTAATTTACTTCTGACACTTGATTTGGTGTCACACCTGGGAGTTTTTTGTTTGGAATTTGAGTTGTGTTTACAGAATAACATCACTTAACAGTTCCAGGCTAAAGGAAAGCACATGTGGAACCAGCCTGCTCCGTCACCACAGGGACACCTGACCCGTATCCCCTTGGGATGCAAGGGCTGGACCCTAAAGTTCCTCTTGTGTGGTGAGAACAGGCAGCTCTGCCAGCTCCTCACTCCAGGCTCAGCCAGGTCGACATCTGGGGATTTTCTAGTGATCTAGTCCAAATTTCTGTCTGCTTTGTGAAGCCATTACAAGTCCCAAAGTTCTTTTACTGGGGGGACTGCCAAAAGCCTGCCTGCACTGCTCCATCAGATAAATGGTTGATACAGGGCTTCCCCTCGACTCTACGTGGTTGTTTTCATCTGTTTCCAAGTCTGAGGGTTACTGGATTCAAAAGTAAGTTACTGGTCATATGTAAAACAAAATTAAGCACCGTTCTGTTGCTTTGCTTTTTCACTTGAATTCCTCTTATGAGTATTTCACTCATAGCTGGTGCTCTGGACCACAGACCACTGACTCCGAATCCTCAAGCTGTTTAAAGAAAGTGCAGTTTACTACACAAAAATGCCTTTCCTCCTGACTTCTAGACATTTGGAGGCAATCAGCTGCCAATTCTGTAACAGATCAGCAGTAAAAACATCTTGTTAGGAAGGCAGAGAAATCATAAAAGACAGAGTAGAGGTTCTGCCAGTACAAGACCATCTTCTGCCAAGTCCTCCCTACCTATGTCCAAAAGCTGGGGGGTGTGTGGGGAGTTGTTCCAGAGGATTACTCCTCCTGAGTGTACTCCTCTATTAATACTGCACAGATACAGCAGGCAGGCAGTGTGCTTTGAAAGAAAACCCTATTTCTGCATCTTGCAGTACATAAAAATGAGCAAACAAAGCTCCAAATGGAGAGGGATATGCACGAGGGAGAGATCCCCAAAAAGCCTGCTGGTGTACACAACTCATCTGGGGGAAAGGGGAGTTGTTTACACAGAAGGTTTTGATGGAAAAGCAGGTCAGCACTAGGAACCTTTCAATATTCTTGGCAACTTTTAATGCTTTTCTTGAAAGAGGAGGGCAATTTAAAAAAATGACAACTTGCTCCTCCAGGTGAAGGTAATGTTTTTCACTGCACAACTGATTTTACAACTAACAGCAGGAAACAGGCCACCACCTCCAGTTTCAGAAATCCACTTAATTCTGCTCTCCCTGAGAGACAGAATTTAACCTCAAGAGTTCTTGATTTTGCAGTGGGAATATGACCATAAAGCAGAATGTTTCACGGTGGAAGAAGGGAGTTACCTTTGAATGGACAGGACACTGAGTTAAACCTACTAAAACAAGAGGAGGGGATAGAAAGAACAGGGGCTAAACCAGCTTTTCAGAGCCCCTTCTTTGTTACCAGACGTCGGAGTGCGTCGTGAAGACTCCGTCTTTCAGGGATTCCGGGGACATCCAGCGGACAGGCAGCAACCCCTTCCCTCCTTTCCGGTAATAATCTGTCTCGTAGATATCTCTTGTCATGCCAAAATCTGGAAGGTATAAATGTTTTGAGTTTGCATGAGAAAATTATGGACATTTCCCCTTCCTACCAGCCAGGGAATCATGCTCTGCTGTAAAGGATCTGCAGTCTGTTCTCACAACACTTGACTTTGCAGGCACTTCACCTGCTGCCTTAGGGCTGGTGACCTTCCCTTCCAACACCACCAACAGACATTTGTGCCACTGACTTCAGGGCTGACAAGTCTGAATGATTTAAATATAGCAACATGAAAAGTTCCAGGATTTATGCTCAAGCTTTGCAGTAAGATGACTCTTCCAGAGGTCACATAATTCACTAACTGTTCCCTAAATTCAATGATTTTCTTTTCAAGAGTGTAAAGAGCTCCTTTAGTACTTAAAACTATTGTCTTTAATTGAAGAACTTCACATGTTGAGGGACATCCTTCTCTTGTGTTTTTTTTCCCTCTCCCAAAGGTAATTCTCAGTTCCTGTAAAATATTCCATTTCAAGTGCTACTGAGGATTAGGCTATTAATTTGTGACTAACACAGACGAGTATTAAAGGCATATTTGGGTTATATGCATGTCCTTGGCTGTTAATACATAAGCATTTCCAAGACTTGGGTTCATCTGACTGTAACTCAGATTTATTCCAGCACATTTTTTCTGTACAATCAGCCTGGGGCTCTCAGAACTGCTGGGTCTTGGACTTGCCTATAAAACCAGTTACTGTGTTCTCAAACACTAACCAAAAGGTTAACAGATCAGGTACCATTAAATCTCTCACTAATATTAAATGCCACCTGCTGACACAGAGGGCAAAATCCACTTTATCAATACAGACCTGGAGTTGCCTCCTCCCTTTTTTTTTTTCCAGGAGAAGTGGGGTGAAAAGGGGACAGAATTCCCTCAGCTCTCACAGTTGTTATCACCAGCCTATGGATGAGTGACCGAGCCCAACGTTCCCTGTGTGCTGGGGACACTGGTACCCTCAGTGATTATGACTAAAGAGCCCATCTGTGCAGCTATTCCAGCACTCCCACACACCAGGGTGACTTTATCCTGGCTGAACGGAAAATTCTTTCAAAATGTAATGCAAATAAGAAACAGATACGCAGCGAGCACAGGCTGGTGTGGCACAAAGCTCTTCCTCTGAGAGCTGAACAGTCTGAGTTGGCGTGTTCCAGCCAAGATGCTCCCAAACTGTTTCTACATGAAGGGATTTTCAATACTGGTACACAAACAAGAGCAATGCACCACATTAAAATGCTTTTGGGGTAGCCACGGACATGTTAAAGGGAAGAAATGCACCATCTTCAGTTCAGAGAATTGTAAAACAAGTTGGTGGGGGGAGGAGGAGAAAACTGGAATGACTTCCTCTGAACCTGCAGAAAATGCAAAAAATCCCCCAAAGATCTTATTTCCTAATTAACTGACTCAAAATGAAATCATTTTTTCTTTCTCCCAAATGACAGGATTACTTACACAAATTATCAAAATAGCTGAGTTAAGCTCAGAGAAAAAAAAATTAGTTTCCTTCAGCAGAAGGCTGTTGCTATACACATTATTTTAATATGCACAACTCAAAAACAGCCAACAGCTTAAAATCACCCTCTCTGGAGAGAAGACTGAAGAAACTCATCTGACACTATTTTGGAAGGATGGTGAAGGGAAAAAAAAAAAAGGTGGTGATCCAACAGCAGAGCAGAAGAAAAGCCATTCAGCTGTCTGGGAAGCAGAACTCCAGCTCAGACTGGAAAGCACCCAGCTGCAGTCAAGTCTTACATTCCACTTCCAATTCAGATATGATTTAAAATAATCCTAAAGTTCTCGTTCTTGAATCAATACACAGGAGGTGGAATTATTTTTGTGCATTAAGAGAGGGGCGAATGACACACCCGTGGTGACCACGCCATCCACCCAGATGTCTGCAGCCTCTGCACCTCCAACCACTGCCTCCCCAGCTCTTTGCAAACACATGTGCTATACTGTTGCCTCACTGGAACAACAGCAAGTCGAGTTCACTGCTCACAGGTCTTAAATCACAGCAAGCCTTCGTAAGGAACATATTTCATTCTGCGGAAATTTCAACTAGAGCTCAGTTCTAAAAAGTCTTCCCAACGATTTTCAAAAAATAAAACGCCTTCGAAGATGCTGATTTTTGAGGATGACTCTGTGATTTGTGTAAGAGCCAGGAGAGCCCACCTCCAATTTTCACTGTGAAGTCTTCTGCCACCATGCAGTTCCTGGCAGCCAGGTCTCTGTGCACGAACTTGTTGGCGTTGAGATAGGCCATCCCGTCCGCGATCTCCCCTGCCATCTGGATCATCTTCTTCAGGGTCGGAGGGGCCTGCCCGGGATTGTTCTGAGCAAGATGAACAAGATAAACCAGGTAACAGACCATATTCATTCTCTTGTGCACATTCTGTCCTTTAATTTATCCGTATCAGAATTTCTAGATCAAGGGCAAAAGCTGCTGAGCTCATTTTCTACGTGGTCTGCTGTGATTTCAGCAGCCTGTGTGTCATCTTTATCCTTTAGACCCTGTATCAGACGTGCCAATTTTAGCCCTTAGACTGGTGGTCTGTGTGTGAGAGTTTGCATATTAGCTAAGCTAACAGATATTTACTTTCCAGCACTGGCAACAGGTAGGATACACAACATGCATCGACTATCCTGACACATATTAAAGAAGCCAGCTTCTTTAACATCTTGATGAGAAATAAGATCAGACAGGAGATTTAATGCAAATCTGGAAAACAGGACTTAGTGACACAAGAAGGGATATATTCCATGTGGTGCACTGGGCTACCTGCAACAGCTGCCTCATGAAAAAGGTGTTGCAGATCACAGAGCAGCTCCTGTTTTGTTCTTGCAGTTTAAGGAGAAGGGCAGGAAAGGCTAATTGCCTGCTGCTTCCAACGTGATGCTGTCTTGTTCAAGATGATTCAAACTGAAGAAAAATAAACAACCAGCAGCTCTTGACTCACCTCTGTATCTGGCCTCAACGATCTCAGGTAACTTTTGAGGTCCCCACGTGTCATCAGCTCCATGATAACCAGCGTGGGCTGGCCCTGAGAAACAACACCAAGCAGCCGAACCTGGTCGAGGAAAAACAACCCTTCAGTGACAAGCACAGCTACCTGAACTGCAGTGATCATTCAGCCACGTGGACATGAAGCTCCAAACACCTGTGAACCTGAGGGAAAGGTCTGAATGTAGATTTGGTTCCACTCCCTGACTCCTGTTTCACAATAATATTATGGAGCTGTGCAGAGTTGAAGCCGAAATCCCAAGTTCCCACTTGAGTCAGTGCAGACGTGCCCTGAACACCCTGGTGTCAATAAACACATGAGCCACTGTCACACCTCCATGACTTACCACATGGTGACAGTTGAACTCCTTCATCACCGAGGCCTCGTTGAGGAACTCGATCCTCTCCCTCATGCTGGCAGACTCATTGACAGTCTTGATGGCCACCCTGGTCTCCGGCTCATCCTTCACCACTCCCTTGGCTATTCCCTCGTACACCATTCCAAAGGAGCCCTGCCCCAGCTCCCGACACATGGTGATCTTCTCACGGGGCACCTCCCACTCATCTGGAACATACACTGAGGGGAGAAAGAACAGGTCATGAGGTCCCACTTCTGCACGAAGTGTGAGCACTCACTGCTCTACAACAGCAACTGCCCAAAGAGTCTGACTGTAAGAACACCAGACAGAACGCTGAGACCTTGCCCCCTGTGTGCAAACAGTCCATGGTCTTTCCCATACAGAGACAGGTAGAGGACTGTATAAAAATAAATCTTAAAGAAATGTGGAGATGGACTTGAAGCAGCCTCACTGTGGTACTGACATATCAGGGTAGAAATAAAGAACCTCAAAGCACAATGAGAGGATGAGAAGAGGCTCAAATCAATGCTAAAGGCTTGAGCTTTTCTTGGGATCCTTGCTTTTCCAGACAGCATCAAACACACTTGATCATCTGTATCAGTTTAGTGTCTGCTGTATTATCTATTAACAGACTGACTTCATGACTAGAGGGAGGTAGGCTCTGATCCAGCAGCTCTTTGCATGGCACTGTTCTGATCCCTTGCACACTCACTGTTGCACCAGCAAAGGCAGAACTTGCTGCTGCTGCAGGACTTTGATCTGAGGCAGAGCAGAGCTCTCAGAAGGTGACTGCCAGGAGGCAGGACTGCCTCAGGCAAGAACACATCCAAGCACTCACTGATGCTGCTGCCTATCAGTCACCAAAGGAGGGGACAGTTGTGTCACATGCTCTGCGTGGGTGAAATAACAGGATGAAAATAGAGGATTATAGCATGAACACTGACAGACCTTTAACCCTAATGGTGTTGCTATAAAAAATAACAGTAAAATATTCTGCTGCCACTCTGGGTAAAAACCCATTAGTCTCCTGGGGGCTTTTGGAAATGCTATTCCAGCAAAAAGTCTACAACAGCAGCACCAAACTAAACTATAAACAGAAGAACTGAGGCCTCAAGGAAATTTGTCTGATGTTCTGATTTCCTCAAGCCATGGGTTTGTTCCAATAAGGAAAAATAGAGCTTAAAAGGGCAAACATGAAAGACCACAAATTCATGAATTCTTCCTTCATTCCAGTGAAAGCAACACTGGAAGAGTAGATGATAATCTGAAAGTGAAATGAATGAATCCAAATTTGCCTCAGCTGAACAAAACTACAGGAAAACAACTCAAAAACTCCCCACTTTCAATAGACAAGTGACCTTTACGTATTATCAATTGTGGATTCCGTGGCTGTGCTAAGAAAACAAACAGAGAAAGTGGTTTTACAACATGCCTTTTAGAGTTTCATACCTTCCAGAGTCAGACACCAACAAAACACATGACAGCAAAAGCATCACAAGTGTAAGGTCACACTCACCGTCTGAGGCACTGAAGTACTCGGGGTTCACAGAGGCATAAAGTACTCCATTGCCCAGTCTGTCACTGTTCCTGTTAAAACATTGGTTTTTTCCTTTTTAATCTTTAAATCTAAGTAGATTTCAGGCCATCTCTTCTACAAGCTGTTTGCTCAACCACAGAATATTATTTAATGTGTGTGGAGTTTTTCACACAAAGGGGACGTGCTGAGTCCTTATCTACCTCACAGAACCAATGGACAAACAGCCTAGAATAGCTTTCCCAGGAAACCTGGAGTCTTCTCTACAGAAAATCAGCACCAGAAAAATGTAAACACAAGGTACTTTTAGCTGCTGGGTAAACTTCCTTTAAGAAAGGCAGCTGTATGGTGATAAACCAGGAGACCCATGGCTGAGAATAGACTTTAACATCATCCAATCTGCTGTGGGAGAGAAGTGATCTAGAAAAGGACAAGACTCTTTTTAATGGGGGATTCCATTCAACTATTTCCTAAGGGTTTCTATCATTTTATTTTAAAACCACACACACAATTCTCACCCCCTTTTCAATTTTACTGGGGTGATTCTCAGAATAGGACACATAATAAATGCTCTTATGAGTACTCTCGCAGGAGACAGGTTGTAGAAATAAAATTATCCATCAGATCTTAGGAAATCAAAGGCAAAATATTCTTGTGGTAGAAGAACAATTTAAAGAAGGGTTAAGTTATCAGGCATTTCACCCAGGAGAGCCCAAGGTGTTGTATTCACCAGATACAAAGTCCTTTCTGGAGCCCTTGAGCAGAACTGGTACCACTCTCTGCAGGGCTACCAATGAATTAGAGCTGAAAATCATGGGATACTCAATGAGCATCACTTATCTGAGTGTAACAAAAACCCTCCAAACCTGGAAAGTTGCAAGTCTGAATATCTGCACTGACTTGTATGAAATTCTCGTTATGTATGTCAATGAGATAAAAAAATAAATCACTAGTTACAAAAAACAAAACAGAGGAAAATAAATCAACAGAAAGTCCCCAAGACCGGTCTTGGCCAGGATATAATTTTTTAAGTGGGTGTAAAGACTTCAAAAAACCCTCTAGAATTAAATCAAATTAACCTAAATAGAAATAAGGTTTCATGATTTATACTGAGCCATATTTCAGTCACATCTTCTGATTATACCGGTCCAGTGTGTGCCATCATTGACCTGTATGTTCCTCACAAGCCTTCCTCTTCCCTCTCTAATATGATACTGGAATAAAAAGCCTCTTCATATCTCCAGAAGCAGCAGCCAGAGGCTGGTAACTCTAAACCACCTCCTTTTACGCACCAACGAGACAGAATCTACTTCAGCTTCTCAACTCCTCTGAATGTCATTTCTCTTTTTAATTTTTAACCTGCTCCACGGGCACAGATTTGAAAATAAACAATTCCCCTCCTGCAGGTTTAAGCAGCAGCATATACAACTCACCTCTTTTTGTTAAAGACATACAGCATTATCAGCAATCCCCCAATGATGAGCAGCAGAGCAAGAGGGAGCACAATTACCAAGTGCAGGAAGTTTCCATAGTTTGCTGCTGCAACCAACAAGAAAACAATTGTATCAGGGTTTCTATAAAACCTCTACTAAACAAAGAAACATTCAAAACCCACTCAGTGTATTTCCATACAGGGAAGAAATCAAAGTTCTCATTTTCTTGTCTGATGTGGAAAAATGTACTCGGAAACCCTCCCTGACTGCAGATGAGTTCAACAAGAAAGCAGACACTGAGAGGCATTAATTTTGTACAGAACAGTGTCTGTCTGGGCTTTGTTTTCACAAGTTGTGCTTAAGGACTTACATTCCTCAGTGAACAATATCCAATTGTTCACTTGCACATTCACCTTTTTTCCACCTTTTGTTCACCTGGCAATTGCTTATACATCTATTCAGAATATAGAGGCACTGCTCTTTACTTCAAATCGTTCAAAGTGCAGCACTCAGAAAACCAAAAAGGAACAAGACATGGAGTTCCAGTGTTGTGGGGATATATCTGCTCTACAACTAAATATTCAGTTCTTGAGGGTCACTGTGGTGGTGTTCTTCCAAAATATAAATCACTCCCACTGTCAGGACCAGCATCACCCTTTTATCAGGATCTTTACCAAAAGTCACTCAGAACAGGTCAACCTGCCAGCCAAAAATCTAAACAAACTATTTGTTTCTCATATTATTTTGCAATTTAAAGCAGGTGTGCCTTGTTGCCACACGTTTTGGACACTCCAGCTCCACGTTGTTATGGCTAACATCACATTCCCAGCATAGCTGTACGTCCCAGGAAGGCACAGCAGTGTGTTCTCCACACCCACCACCTGCTGCACCTCTCACAGACACACAATGCAAGGGAAGGACACACCTCACACACCCCTCCTGGTTGTCAACACCTGCCATAAAAATGGAACAGAGAAGAGTTCCCAAGGAACCACCAGCAAGTAAGAGGAGTATTCAGAGTACAGGCAACAGGCTCAGACACCCACTTACACACTTAAACATCAGGCATTATTAAAAGACACCGGTTCTCCAATTTGGCACAGACAACAAACACTTGTCTTACATTTGGGCTGCACATAGAAAGAGACTGGCTCAGTCCAGGACCCGTTTCCAGCTAAGGAAGTGGCCTGAACTCTGGCAGAATAGTTCCCAGGGTTCAGGTGAGTTAGTTTAGCTCCTCCAAGCTTCTTGTATTCCTGTCTGGAAACACATTCCCGCTTCTCCTAAAACAAAAAAGCAATTTACACGTTAGTATCTTCACATTGTTCATTACTGAAAAGCAATGTAGCTGCAGGGTAAGCTAATTTTTATAACTAAGAGTCCCACCTGATCAGTTTTACTTCAAAGATATGTGGAATTTAACAACTCAAAATAAGGGGAAAAAGGGAATGACATGCTGAGGGTGCTGGGTGTTTGAAATCACAGTTTCTTTTGTGGGTTGCAGCACTGCACAGAAGCACATTTAAAAAGATCCTTTTTGGTGTGTAAGTTATGAGCAGGGATGTCAAATCCTCACCTCTCCCTGCTGCCCATATTTGATTTCATACATCAGGATCAGCCCATTTGGACTTGCAGGCTCTGACCACTTCAGGTAGACGGTATTTTCCTCTTTTGCTTCCCATGATACCGTTCCTGGAATGTTATCTGCTCCCTCTGTAAAATATTTACAGGTGATGTGAGAAGAACATCTACTACTGGAAGAGGAACTTGTGCAGGAGTGGAGGAGAATGGAAGGGTCACACTGTTCTTTGGGTGCAGAAGCTCTGCAGAGCTACTGAAACCCAGGGAACCAACTGCATTGGCCAGGGCCCTGCTGGAGATCAGCAGAGTCTCAGCTACTGGTTCCCAGAAAACCAGTGCAGTGGATGCAGCTCCACCAGGTATGGGCTCTGTGTGCCAAAAAAACCTGTTTATCAGCACCTGATTCTTCCTTCCCAACTTTCCACTACACCAAAACAGTGCAAGGAGCTGTTCCCACCAAATGGCTGTAACAACAACCAGGTTGCCAACAGCTGTGAACACACAACTGCCCCACTGACAGCCCTCTCCTAAAACAGTCAGAGGGAATCTGTCCCCGTTTAAAATAATCTCATCAGCAATTCAGGAAGTGCTTCATCCTTATTTAGTTCCTAATAATTTTATGTGGTTTATTGAAAACTTAACAGGAATGTGAACCCCATTTCAGTCAAAGAAGACCACTCCTTCAAAAATACAGTTGTTATGTTTAGAAGAAAACAGAATTGTTTAGCCTTTAATTATCAGAGCCATGTGTTAAAAAATCTGGGAACACTTATTTCCTTTTCCCTGATCTCACAGATTTCCTTATTTCCTTGAAATAAGCAATACTTTTTGCTTTTTTTACTGACACAGCTGGATCTAGATTATGATAGCCTTTCCTTCCAGAAACAAAACAAAATTGCTACCATTCTGCATCCAATATCCCCAGACATCTGCTGGAGTCAGAAGCTCATTGCTGGATGCGTATGAGCTTACACTAAAATCATCTCTATTCTTCTCAGAAGAAGTACAATCTGTAAGAGCCCCAAACATGAGCACAGCATTCAATGCTTCCTATTTGAAGTACTCTAGGGGCCAGGGATTGGGCACAAAGAAACACAGTATTCCTCCTGTTCCCAGGCTGGACAAATGCATGGTCATTCTGTGACAGAAGAAACATTTGGCAAACATTCCCACCAGCAAAACTCCAACATCTGCAAACAGTTCCAAGTGAGCACAGCAAAACCAAACATTAGCAGAGCAACACTGCCCTGTCTCTATTGAGCACACAGGGAACTGAGGGATAAAACCTTCCAGCCCACCATGTCTGTGGGTCTCACCTCTATTGCTAGGAAACAGATTCTCTCCTAATTATGCTGGTAATGAACTTCTGCCTTTCCCCAGCTCACAGCAGACTCAAACACATCACTCAGCACACACCAGAGACGGGTCAAGGACTTTAAAATCTACACAGTTCCAGTTCATTGTCTTGCACAGAACTGTTATGACGCCCCAACGTATTTCTAACTGGGTTTGGAGAGCTTGTCCTCCCCAGCACACAAGCCAAAGCTGCACCCTGTGAGGGCCCTTGGGAGAGCCCCTGGGAGAGCGTACCTGAGGGCATGGTTCTGGCAAAGACGAAGTTGGAAGCGCTGCAGCCGAGCGTGTCGGCCTCGTGGTTGCAGCTGTGAATGTCGATGCGGTAAAGGGTAAAAGGCTGGAGGTGGGAGATCACGGTTCTCTCCTTGCCATCCACCTTGGTCTCGAAGAAGGGGTACTCCACCTCGCTCTCCTCAGCGTCAGAGGCATTGGTGAAGTGATCTGTCCCCGTCACGTTCCTGTTCCGAGCGGCCAGAGTGGCGTTTGCGATCCGGAACACATCCCTCCGCTTCCGATCGGGCCTGTGGGGCAGACACGGGTATGGAAAAGGTCTCTTTAGAAAAAACCCACTTTTCCTCCAGCCTCAGGAAAACTGTGCAAAACACCCCAGAGAAAGAGGCAACTGCTATTAAAAAAGCTAAATAAAGGAAACTGCAAAACAAGAGGAAAACTGCCTCAATCTGAACCTGCCACATGTCAGCACAGCCCATTTCTCTCTCTTTTGGTCAGGGACCAGCCACAACTCTGAAGCTCACACTGTGCCCCAAGATAAATGTGCAAACTTCTGACCTCACACCAAAGAGCAAAAAATGGCTTCCCTCTTACTCAATAAACATCCCCGATTTGTGTTTCATGACAGTAATGTTGACGCTTAAAATAAAAATCAGATGTTTAAGGTTGGAAACATTAGGGGGGAAAAAAACTGTTTTGAAGTTTGCTGGACTAGCCAAGGAAGTTAAGCCTACTGAGAGTTAGCTTTGCAGTTGTGATGAAATTACAGACCTTAGAATGGATTGCACTGACAAAAGAAACCTTGGAAGGCAGCTGAAGACCATGACTGTTCACCAGCACTCAGTTATCTGTGCATCTTTACTTCTTTCACCCAAACTAAAGCTCTGCAAAGGAACAACCTTCCTGTGTGAGCAAACACAGCACTAATATTGGGGACAGCCAAAAGTTCAATGAGCAGCTTTGCCTTACGGGCATCTGGGTGAAATTTAAGCAGTTAAAAACTTGAGGATTTACAGCAACGCTGCTGCTTTCTCAAGCCTCAGAAAGTGCTGTGGTGGACAGGCCTGAGTAACAGCAAAAGCACTAAGGTTCTCTTAGAGCCATTTTGGATGTTGGTGTCAGGTCACCAACACCCAGTGCCACATGGTCTTGTCTCAGATGCAAGGCTGTTCTGCACAGGGGCACCAGCCACACAGGGCACACTGGCTGTACTGCTCCTGCTCCCCCACCCCAGGAATGCCCACACCTGGGAAGCAACGCCCCAAAGGGAGCTAAAGGAGAATGTAAGAAAGGTCACACTACAAAACCAGTCTGGGCTTGAATCCTACCCCTCCTAAAATCACTCCACCAAGTGCCCATGTGGCACCTGGCCAGGGCAGGAGGGATCAAGGACATGAGGTCTGACATCTCTACCAGAGAGTTACAAACCAGGCAAAGGAGGCCTCCCCCAAACACACAACAGGAGGAAAGATGACTCAACAGGAGAAGTTAATTCACTGTCAAACACATCGTCTTAGCACATGCAGCCACAAGGCAGCTGCTCCCAGAGCCAAAAACAAGCTCACTTGGTTTTGAAACCTTCTGGCAGAGGTTGGATTAATTTTTAATTTTTTTTTAGGAATTCATTACAGATTTTTCCAAAATCCTTTTAGTACATCTTCAGTAGTTGTTTTGACACTCTCAGCCACCATGTAAACCAGAAATAAACGAAGGCAAGGAAAGAACTTCCTAAGTTAACAAGAAATTGTTTTAAGCGATGTACAAGTCAATGCCTTGTCAGTTAAGGGAATTTCACAGGAGATATAAGCATTTGTGCCTCCTCTCCACTGGTATTTATGGAAGTTACTAAAGTTGTTCACCCTGCTTAGAATGAATATTCATTTAGTGCTTTAACTCAGTGGACAGAACAAACTTTTAATCTGCTAAAATTTGGGTGCCTAACTCTGAAGTGATGAACATTTGCAGAGGTTCTGTGATAAAAGGAGTGAAAATAAAAAGTTCATTTTCAATCAGCCACCAAGGCATATGCCAATGCAAGAACCCAAAAGGCCTGACTTTATCTCTGCTTTTATGGGATGCACGAAGTTTCAACTCTCTGGTGGTATCTGGGAGTAGGGGGGAAGTACAGTCCCCCCTTGCCTTTGGGGAAAAAGATAAAGGGACACAAAACTTGTTGGTGAAAACTGCAGTGGAAGCAGGAAGAGAAAAAGAGCTGCAGGATAACCACAAGGCAAACAGGATTGAAACATCAAGAGATTTGACAGCACTGCTTTTCGGTCCAGCAGCTTCCTGCTTTCATGAAAGGCAGAGATAAAGGCAAAAAACAAGCATCCAAGGAAGTAAGTCTGAGATAAAACCATGAAAAATCATCTATTCTGTTTAAGGAGAGGAAGGAAGAGAAATGCAGGAGAAAAATTAAAAATAACACTATAAAAAATTAAATCAAATTAAAAAAAGAAGGAAAAAAGTTAACATTTAACAGAAAAGCTCACTGTTCTTTGTGGCAATTTTAATGTTACTCCTCAGACTACACACAGAGCCTCCTCCTGCTCATTAGAGAAACAAAAAACTTGTAGAATAACTCCTCCTCCCCGGTTGTGAGTGTCTCTTCAAGGCTAAGCAGAGCCCCAGTGTTTGAAAGCCACCATAGCAGTAACACCCATGGGGTCATCCAGAATTGCACAAGAGATTAGATCAACAGGCTTCTTAAACAATCCTAAAACCACCCAGTCAAATACTTTCACACTGTATTCAGTGCTGCAACTCTTTCATAATATCCTGGAGACAGGTAGGACACTGGAAACAAATACTGCTATTGAGGCTTGCATTAACACATTAATTAACTCTCCCTTGGAAAACAGAGGAAAAAAAAATGACATCAACAAGTAACAAACTGCTTAGGTTTGTCCCATGGAGGCATCTCACTAGCTCATAATCTTTAATTCCCTGACATACAGGCTCTTAAAAGTTGCTTGGCTATGCAGCTATTGCTGAGTGTTGTACCTTATCTGTCCCTGCTGTTACAAAACATCCTCGTGACAGTAAGTTAAGGAAAAAGGACAAACTTTCAGGAAACTTTGGGAACTGGTCAGTCTATTTGTTACTGTCTGAGCTCAAGGTTCTATGAGTTTACTTGGGGGGATGAAGGCAGGAATGCAAGAAAATATGAGAGAAGATAACACATTTTAAATAACAAAGCTTTGGGGAAATCAAAAGAACTCCTTTGCAACAGACTTTCAAGTAGTTTAGACCTGACATGTGCCTTTCAAAACTCCTTGCTGGGCTGTTTCATAGAGTCTGAAATCAGATCTCAACATTTCACATTGCTCAGGAGTTACATCATGGCCAGACACGGTGCCTAAAACTTCCCTGGACCTGATCTTTGCTGCTGGTTCTCATCATCACTAGGGAAACCCTGCACAAGGTCAGCCCCAAATGCTAAATGTGACCCAGACAGAACTCAGGTAAGATACTTCACACTTCTGAAGACAGGCAGTATTTAGTTCCTCATTTTTTGGGAAAAACTAAGAAGCTCTGCAAATATCAGTCCCGACCCCAACAAGTCAATCCAACACATCCTTGAATTGAGGACCAAAAAAATCACAGTGGAGAGTGATATAAACCAGCATTAATGAGCAGAAATGCCACACTTTGGAGTTCTCAAAAACAGGACTTGACCAGAAACTTCCCCTGCCAGGAGAGAGAACGAGGCAACGTGCACAACTGAGATCTGACTGCGTATAAACTGTAATTTAACAGCTATACAGTGTGTGCCTGGCTCCAGCATCCAATTACCTAAAGCAGAACAGCTTACCTGAAGGATAAATTGGAAACTCAAGGATCAAAATCACCAATTAATTCAGTAGTATCTACTCTATGCTGCAGCATAAAATCGTTACTATTCCACTTAACACGTAAGCAGGTGTTTATTGTGGCAGGGTGGAAATATTTAATACTTCTCTGCAGCACAAACCCAGGAAACCAACAGGCCCTTTGTATCTAGTGCAGTGAGAAAGACAGACCATTCTCAATTCTGTGAGGTGACTGTGCCCTGAATTTCAAAGGCAAATAAATCTTCAGATTAGGAACACAAGCACTTAAATGACTATTTAGAGAAAGATCAAATCTGAACCCCTTTGTCTACCACATGTTGCTCATCTCTGAAATCCTTATAGACAAAGAGCTCCTTAAGTGACTCTTGAGCCTGAAAAGAACCCCTCACTGAAATCCTTGATCAATACAGGTAAGAACCCTTACTATGGGCTGGAATTGAAAGAAAGAAATGAAAGCTAGTAAACAAGAGAAACTGCAGAGGAAGGCTGCAGGTTGTCTCCCATGAAAGGAAAGGTAATGCCTGTGTGTTTCAGGTGTTACCCATACAATTATTAGCCCCACTTCCAAAGAGGAAGTGTCCAAAATCCATTACCTAGGGACAAAGATGGAGTTGTGAAGGAAGTTCTCAAAGACTTTGCGGTACTCTGCTTCCTCCTTCTCAGCTTGCTTTTCTGCTTCTGTCTTGGGACAAGCACAGCAAGGTCCTTTTTCCCCCCCACAGCCCTCTGGCTTCGTGGGCTCAGTAGCTTCTTCTGTATCAATGGTCCCATCAGCGTATCTTCGAATTGGGACTTTATCTTAAAAGAAAAGAACAGAGCTTGTTTTGTTTCTCTCCAGACCATGACTACGGCAACAATCCATGTCTTATCCATGTTTATTCCCCAGCTCTTGCCAATGAGGAGCCTGGCAGGCAGAGTCCCAGGCATTCCAACACAGCAGGGTTGGTTTTCCTACCTTTGGAGCAGTAATTGTGTCTGTAAAGGTAACTGTCCTGAGGCTGCTGCTGCCAGCGCACGATGTAGTAGGAGAGGTTGCCATTGGGAAGAGAGGGAGGATTCCATTTCACAATCAGCTGGGATGAGGAGTTGGAGGCTGAAATAACATCCAAGGGAATGGATGGCACTGGAGGAGGAAAAAAAGGAAAAGAAAGGCAATTAAACCTAGAGCATTCTACAGAATATTTCCATGCAAGCTTCTGAAGTGAATCCCAATCCATTTCTGTACTGCAGGGAAAAACACCATCTTATTTCAAATAAAGGATTTCTTACTTATGCCTCGCTAACAACAGTTACCAAGGGTTCAACTGCAACCATGTGCAGCCCCAATCCAAAGTTGTACTTAAAATTCACCTTCACCAATGGAACAAAGCCTGAAATTCTAACTCCAAGGAACTCCCATAGTTCCCAATGAACGTAATGTTTTAATTCAAATTTTAATGCTGCTTTCATAATCACTCAAACTTCTAGCATTATGCACATTATCTGCACATAAATTCCATTTCTGTATTAACAACAGACCTTGCACAATAATACAGTAGTCACACCTGCAGCATTATCAACCTCTCACCCCAGAGCTCAGCAACTCACCCGCAGCATTGGTTCGTATATATATGATTTCACTTTTTGCTCCATGAATATGATGGTTTTCCATCATGGTGAGGGTAACAGCCTTGACATAAATGGCATACTGAGTCCAAGGTTTCAATCCCTGCAGCAGAATCCCAGGATTGTTCTCTTTGTTTGGTGGCAGGTCAACATCAACCATGTTCCAGCTGTTGGAGCCACACGCATCTTGCCCGTCGTACTCTGTCACATTTTTGAATGGTCTGAAATATTCAAAGAAAAAAGTAGCACAAATATTTATTTTCTCCTAAAGATTGCCATGTATGACTGAGAGTGCCTCATTTCAAAGCTGCTCAGTGAAACACATAAAGCTTACTTGTTTTCCCCAGCAGAATAAAACAGGCTAAAATCCGTATTTCCAAGCAGTACAAAATTCAGAGTTCAGTTTTAGCTGCAGGTTTACCTTCAGTCACTAGTAACAAGACAATGTTATCCAAGAAAACACTATATTTATCTATTTTTTATCCCAAACAGGCAGTGAAACACTTCGGACACACATATCAAACACAGGCAACTCAAGACAGTTATTGATAGTGGCCAAGTTTTTTACCATAAAGAACCCAAAGTTCTGTGACTGATCTTGACCAGTCTAACAGATTTTTTTTATTTTTTTTTTCAAATTTGAAACTTCCTGATGGATTTGCAATCCATTTCTAGGATTCCTTCAAAACAATCCTCTTTAAAGGTGGCCTGTGCTCCACCAAGGAAAGAATTTGAGCAGAGGCAGGGCTTGAGGATGAAATACATAAATTGGATGAGCTCTCAGCAGTAGGAACAGAACTGTTACTGTCTCTTGGACTGCCCTGATCAGGCCCTGACAACATCCACTTACGCTTCTTTGTAGTACACGGTGAAGCTGATGAGGTCTCTGTAATCTGGAGGCCGATATCGTTCCCACGTCAGTTTAATCCTGTTCTTGAGGGTAGTGTTGGAAACAAAATGCAGAATTTTGCTTTCACCTGCAATACAAAAGAACAGGACATGACAGAGTTGGTATCACACCCCCTGTCAGTTTTTGCTGTTTCTTAGGTGTCTGGTTTAGCTAATGAGCCTTTCCAGTAGCACCTCATGATATCAACAGCCTTTGTCTCTGCAGAGCTTCCTATTTCATCCCACTACATTTGAATACTTAAGGGCAAGCAGTGACCTTGGCAATCATGTTAGAATATGCTGGAGCTACTTGCTATTAATTTTTTTGAAGCAGTTTTTCTTCTAATGCATCACCAGAAAGCTCTTGAAAACTACTTCAGACTCTCCCTGAGTGAGGAATGGAAGTGCTGTTTATCCACAGGACTGGTCTGAAAGCACTAAATTCATCATCCAACTCCAAAGCACGTGCAGAGCAGTAACCAGCCTCTGTGTTCTCACTCTCCAGGACAACTCTTGACAACTACGATTTATTTTTCTGGAGAGTGAACAACATGGAAAGGACAAAGAAGTTTACATTGCTATTCATGAGAGGCTGGACCAAGAACTCTGAAACTCAGTTCATATACGGCACAACCATTTGATGGCAGCAGCTTCCAGCTCCTCTTGTGAACAGGCCTGGATGGAAGCCCACAGTTTTGAGATGAATGGCTTCCCACTACCAACTCACTGAGCTTTCCAATGCAAAACAAAATAGCATTTTAAAAACTTAATTCTTGGATGAAGAAATCGTGTTCTGTCAACTGTTAGTTTCTAATGTTCCATAGAAGGCTCTGAAAATAAAGGGGTTTTCACCCTCGTGTACACTGGCACTGTTGGTGCTATCTTTGCAAAGGCAGTTTGGCTTTTGTTGATTCTTTTCCCCTTCCAAGAGTCAGAAAGCTTTCTGTACTGGTTTCTTAAAAAAGCAAGCAGTGGCTGGCACTGGCCTCAGTGGTAGTAAGGCCTGGCTGTGTGTCTGTAACTCTTCCAGGACTGCAGGGCTTTGCTCCATTGAATGTGCAAAGAATGGAGGGTGCTCACAACAAGGATCTGGGCCATCTGCGCGCACCCATCCCGCCTAAAGAGACATCCAGCAGAATACGTGTCCTACTTCTGTAAGCACCATCCACAACAAGGGGGTTTGACTCAGACACAAGATTCATTTCAATTCACTCAGCCCCAAAAAGCACCCCAAACTGGCCAAAGGAAAAACACACTGTCAAGTTTTAGGAGTTAGAGGTGAAATGCGTAAGCATTCTGTTGCCTTAATTCCTAGGTGACACGCTGCTTTTAAACACACTGGTTACAACTGGAGAGCTGATGTGCAGCCCACTGGAGCCAGAAGAGGATTTCCCAATAACTGACCGTGGCAGAATCCAAAACTAAATGCAGAGGCACTCAGGTTTAGGAATACTGCAGAACATCAAGAAGCGTTCTCAATTCAAAAGCAAGTAATTTGAACATAAAACACAGAAAGCCAAGTTTACAACAAGCATTCCCAGCAACAAGGTACAATATTTGGCAGAAGCTGAATGTAACAGAAAGATTTTGTTTTGGTGTCTCTGGAATTGTTAGTCAGCAGCATCCTTAGCATCAAAAAAGAGTAGATATCTGAGGGAGGAAAATCCCTGTAATGATGCACAATTACAAAGGAGGCTGAGAAATTGCTCCTCATTGGACACACCAAACTGCTGGATTTCACTTCTCGTTTCCAGGTGTGTTCCTATTGTTATATGCTGCTGCTGTCACCAAATTTGGGAAGCAATCATCTTCTAGAGATGGGTTTTCCAGATGAGATAGGGACTACGTAACCACATTGTTTTCCATGTGTGCAAATGCCCCCTCACAGCTACAGTGTAAAACCTGAACAAGCAGAACGGCTGAAAGGCTCCTCCAGGGTCTAAATCTAAATATTGCAGTGGTGTGTTGGGGTTTCTCTTGTCACACCCTCCTGGGCAGTCTGCCTTGAGATTCTTTTGTCTGTTTACTTACAAGAGGCTCTCTCCCCATTGTTCCTTGGATTTATATCTCCTTTGCTCTGCCGTCCCTTGGTTCCTGAAACCTCTTCCATGCGGTAAATCTCAGAAACACACAGTTTAGGATTAAATGCAAAGTACATTTTCCCCTCACTGATCGTCAGGTTATGATGGTTCCAGTCCCAGAGCTGCTGAAGATTGTGGTTGTCAAGCACGTAGAAGGAATAATTCCTGGAAGAAAAAATATTAGTTTTAATTCACAGCCAATTCCATTGAAGAATCTCTTAATATAAGAAAACTTTAAACACTTTGTTCCCTCTTACTTTAAAGTGCTGGTCAGCAAAGGGTTTTCTTCTCTCCAATGGAGCAAGTTTTCCCTGAATGCTCAGGGGCAGGAAATGACTGTAACACAGGACACCCCAACATCTAAAGCCACTCCAACATGTGTTGTAAAAATTGTATAGGAGCTGCTACAAGGAATATAAATTCATGTTCTCTGAACAGCAGGTCTCTATACTGGAAGCAGTAACCTTAGATACCCTATGGAAGGAAAAGCCTGCTGCAGTTCTGACAATAAAGCAATCATTAACGCAGCTGTCTTGCTTGTGTTTACAAAAGCAACTCCAAGAGTTTGCACAGGGAGATTTCCTTGCCTATCTATCTTAGTTTACCTCTTGGCCCAATAAAGATTTCCCACATTGTGCCAAGTACAGTTGCACCTGTACATCAAAACCTGACAGCAAACGGGACCCACATTTCAAAATGCACAGCTAAACACAGGCAGCTGTGCTGAGCCCACTCCCTAAACACAACCATGGAATAACATGTACATCCTTTATTTCCACAGATGCTAACACAAAGTCGGGTGTGTAAATCCTATTAATCCTATTATATATTATGAAGAAATTCCTGGTACTATTCAATTGTGCTGAATTGGAAAAAACCCACAGGTGCAGCAGAAGCAGGATTATAGCTCTACATCAGCAGCAAGACAACACCTGCAAGGACACTGACACTTTGGGACACTAGGGACAGGAATGCAGCTGATGAACCACAATCAAACCAACCCACCATGGCAGCATTTATTACACTTCTGTGGGAAGTCCCCCCAGCATGAACCACAGCAACACAAAATCCATTATTAACACAAGGAAGCCCACCTTGCTTTGGTAACCCCACATCAGTGGAGTCACACTGGGCTTTCTACAAAACCTTTTAACTACAGAGTTTCTGCAGGATAACATGGCAGACAAACCACAGGGTTCATAAGAAGCTGTCATACTAGTCATTTATGGTTTTCCTTCAATTATTTCATTTAAAATTCAGGATTAATTCCTCCCTCATCCAACCCGAAACAAAAGCTGTGCATTCTGGCTCCAAACTGCACAGACCAGATTAGCCATTTCTTGCAATGCAGAGCGTGTTTTCAGGGCAATGTGAAAGACAAGTTGTTTCCTCTATTTCCATCTGTCCCCTAATTATTCAGGACTTGATTTCTAATGAAGTTGATATACCTGGTACCACTTCACACAGATGCAGAGAGGAATGTGCTCGTCTGACAAGGGAGCAGAGACATGTTTGTGCTTTAAATGTATCTTGCCAGGAGAGAACAAGGATGCTGAACTGCATGTGGGACTTGACAGACATCACCAAACCCTGTGTGGATTTGGAAGTAATGCACCTCACTGACACTAAAGTTCAGTGTTCCCTTGTCTTGTTTGAAAAGGTAAACTGATGCACTTCTTAAACCCCTCCAAACTCACCCTCACACCTCAGTGTACAAACTCCACAAGTCAGTTTTGAAACTCCACTGACACATGGACAGCTGAGGAACAGTCTCTTTAGAGACCCCCCCTTAAACAAAAACCAAGCTGAGGAGCATCCCCCACGGGAGCCTGCACTGCAGACGTGCTCAGCACCATGTTACCACCAGTCTGGGGGGTGTTATTCATCCCCACACACCCTCACACACCACTCTGCTCTGCTGAAATGCTGTGGTTGGATCAAGTCTTGTTGCTCTCGTGCCGAATTCACCATCCCCTGACAATGATGATCCCAGGAAAATAAACTGTAACATCTTCAGTGAGGAGCCATACAGCACTAGAGATCCTGTTCACACCTTCCAACAGGCCTGACAGTTACTGATGCCTCTGCTTCAAAAGGGTGTAGAAAACAGGGGGGAGGTTGTTTTTACAGAGACTTCCCCCAATTTGCAGCAGCGGGTCAGTGTCACAACTGGAACTCCTCCTCAGTCACCATCTCCTCGCTTGCTCCTGAAGGTCACAAGTTGCTCATTTTCCAGGCACCCGACCTGGGATGCTTTGGGAAGTGCTGCCTACACACCATCCACCAACAAGGCATCTGCAGCTCATGAGAGCTGTGAACACACTGACCCCAGCAGAGGGTGGAGGGACCAGGCAGAGGCAGTGCCAGAGGAGGGACCAAAATCCTGCAACAGACCCTGAGACCCCTCCAGCACATCTCCAGTTCACTTCCCTTGTTTGCAAAGAGAAATTTATGTTCTTGCCCTGGGAGCACCTTCACAGAGTGTTCAAAAGGGGCAGTGAGAACTCTGAAAACAAACAAAGTAGATTCACCCTAAACTTTCCACTTTCTGTGACAACCAAGGCAGGCACCAGCAACTGGATAAGGAACAGAGAAATTCTGAAGTGCTGTTTTCTTAGTCCAGTTCAATAAATAAAGGGACAGGGACAGTGGGGTCAGTTGTTCAATGAACAACAATCATAATGGACCTCAAGTTACCTCCTTCTCACCCCCCCAAGGCAGTGCTGCCACAAACAGCTCTTCTTCTAGCAGCCACTGCTTCCCAGGCTAAGATCCCACTCCCTGATGTTCATAACTCTGCCCAAGTAATTGTTTAGGCTCAGTTATTCCCTGCCAGGTGCCTACTTCCACTGAAGTATTTTTGGAAATGTCATTTTAGACTGTGGTAATGCCTAAATTATGCCAGGCATTTTCCGAGCGAAGAGACTGCCCCTGACCCCAAGTATGTAACTGCAGTCATTTCCTAACATAGGGGAATTTTAGCACAAGTAGCTCTTTACTATAGATCTATTTTGCCTCCACACTCATCCTCATTTTCTTCTTCAAAGCTGCATTTATTTACTACTTCTATTTGGGAATCTCATTTACTTCTCTGTTTGGAAAAACCTGCCATTTCCCTTCATATGGGCTCTGCTTGCTGACAGACAAGGTGCCATAAGCATAATTACTACTTGAGACACAAAGCTAAACTCAGATTTAGAGAGATCAAGAGAGGGAGGGGAAGAGAAGAAAAGACAAATCAAGGACTGGAGTATCTGTGAGGGCACACCAGGCCGTGAGAGGCTGAATGAGCCACGTGCTCGGCACTGCCAAGCCTCTGGGATTTGCAGTTGGAAAAAAACGTCTCCGTGGAGCCAGTGCTCTTCCTGAGACAGACAGGGCAGGAGGAAGAGCTGCCTCTTCACTCAGTCAGATGGTGGAATTTTAAGAATTTAAGGCCGACCAAAGACAGTCTGAGAGAAAAAAGGGAGGTTGTGAAGAGTCCCTCATGTTTTAACTTCACCCAGTCAGGGCAGACAAATCAGACACAAGCAACCTTTCTCATGACCTTCCCACCACCTTTTCTTCCATGATTTCCCCAAATTCTTCATATAATAGCTCTGTCATTATGGAAGGGGACTGATTTCTCTCAGAGAACACTGGTTTAAACTTGGGATGGCTGCTTGATTCAGGAAAAGAGCGAGCAAGGCAGTTTGATAAAGGACCATCATCACACGTCAGCATCACACATGCTGGGGGGCTAAAACCTTTTACCTTGACAATCTTTTACCATCACAGGAAAGCAGGAGTTATGTACAGTAAAAAGTATCACATGTTGAGCAATTACAGAAGCAATATAATCCTGAGCATACATTTCAAGGGATCAACTTTACTTTTCCTGACCAGTCTTTATTCATTTAAAGGTTAACTCTTCAAGGAGCTGCAAACAATTGCAACTTGCAATCTGTTTCACACTTGTCGGGTCACTCTGAGTTTCAGTCCCTGCTTAGCAAAGCTCAGGTTTCCTTTCAGCTGACACTCTCCAAAAAACTCTGCTAGAAGTCAAAGAACTGCAAGGAAATCTGATTGTTTCTGAAGATGCTCTTTTCTCAAATAGAGCAAAGAGAAAAACAAAAGCACTTTATCCATGTAAAGAATCACCCCAGAAAAACCTAAAGTGAAAAGTAACAGCAAAGTTACCATAAAATACCTGGAATATACTCAATTTAATATGCTGATTTGGACAGTAATGCAAATGATGCTGTGCAGAGGTGTTCATTAGGAGAAAACGCTGCATATGAGAGGAAAAGAAGACTATAAATGACACATGAATGTTTTTTAGGAGTAGCTTTCTATTAAAGTGAAATTGCATGTACAAATATCTGAGCACTTACCCATCCACCTGTTCCTCTCCCAGAATATACCGCAGGTTCTTCAGGAAAGACAGGGAGACCAAAGCATGGGAATGACGGATCTTCACATACCCCGTTACTGTCTCAATCAGCCCCATAAAATTCTCCAGTTCTGAGGCGATGTTATCTACAGGAAGAAAAAGGTAATTCTGTTATTACAGGATTCACAGCTTTGACTGATATTCTCCTTAATGCTCAGTAGAAGAGAATGTTTGTATTTGCTGCTTTTGAAAATGAGACACGCTGGTTTTCCTCTCCCAGGAACAGCTGCCTGTGCAGCCTGATGGTTGAAGGGCAAAATAAAGCCAAAAAGTAACACTGGGAGAACAGTCTTGCTTTTCCATCCTGGAATACCTGCTTTTTCCATGGGCATTGCACTCTGAAGCCAGCACCAAATGGTGAGCCAGCATGCTGGCAGGGATGAAAAGACCCTTGTTAAACGTACACATACATGAGACTGGAACTGCTTTTGGATATGGAGCAAAGCTCAGGCAGAAAGCTCCACTGGAAAACAGAGAATGAGACTGGAGATGAAGAGGTGGGGTATGTTACTGGTGTGCTTGGGAGCACAGGGCACTGATTTCCATGACTTGAGAAGCTCTGGCTACAACACTGAGAACTCTGGATGAAACAGTGAAGATAAAACCCATAAGGATGTGCTCATGCCATGGAGCATGTTCTGTACAACTCACTGAAGGTGATTTTCTATTACAAATTATTAAAATGACTGCAGAGAAAGCTCCACTCCTCAGTCCTTCAGTACCCTACAAACTGTCCCTGCCCAGGTCTGCAATCCCCCATCCTTCACAAACTCAACCTTTGCTGTTCTTACCTCAGCAATGGTTGGTTTCCATACCAAATAAGCAGATGCTCTTCAGCCCTCTAAGATAATTAAAATAAAAACCCTTAAATAAAATAAAAACCCCCATACTTGCCACAGGTAACTGGAACATCTTCCACAGGGGAAGACTGTACCTTTGGAAGTGGGACCTTGAGTAAAATAATCCACATGCTGCTGTTACTAAACCCTGAAGCTTTCATTCAGCAGGAGGCAGGGAATCAAACAGATCTCAATCTTTAAACCTTATTCATGAAACCGAAAGGGACCTTCCATAGGGAGATACACATCCAATAAAAACTAACAGTGATTTTTACTCTGCTTTTAAGAGCTCATCAGCTGTCAACACCTCCCTGGCTGATGAATCACTGCTCTGACAAATTTAATCCAGAGCTTGTTCAAGACATGTGACAAGGGTGGCCAGCTCACTAATGCTGACCATCCAGCAGCACAGTGTTGGGCTTTATATGAGCTCCCAGCACTTTGGATTTCATGTTTTAGCAAAACACCACATGTTGCCTTAAGAAGTGGGGATATGCAGCCTTACAGTACCATGCAACAAGTTATTTACCTACCCAGATGCAAGGATTTTCAACTTTTCCACCTTTATTATTCTTTTTGGACTACTGCTCATCTAACTGCCTAATCCTGTTCCTTGTTCTGCCAAAAAAACTAACAAAAATACCAGTTTTCCCTGGGACTGAATACCTGTGCCAGCGTGGGCCAAATCAAACAGGAGCTGAGCTCTGGGGCTGGAGAGCAAACAGCCTGCTGAGTTTTTAATGTTCTTATCACTATGCTGAGGACAAAAGGAAAAACGTGGACAGTAGCCTTATCAGAGGTTCAGAAAGAGAGGCCATCACTTACTGCCACGGCGGATGTTGATCAGCAGGTTCCCCTTGAGGATTGTGCAGCCCTGCAACATCTGTGCTGATGTGACAGAGTCAATGGTCTTCGTCTTCCCGTCCTCACAGATTTTGGGGCAGGGCCCCTCACAAGGGCTGCAGAACATGCTGCTGGGAAAGAAAGAGAGATTCAAAATAAGCACCGATACACAACTCTGAGTCCACAGACTGCTCTGGGTTGAGTTTTGGAAGACATTTCCCTCTAAAGCTTGGACAAACACTCCAGGCTCGAATGAAACCTTGTTCAGAGGACACACTTGACTCCAAGAGGCTGAAGCATCTCTGGCTTACAGTGACTGAACGGACCCACATCCACGGGTTGTCAGCTTCTGGAAGCTTCTGGAAGGTTCTGGGGTCCTTCCAAAGTCAAAGGAGCTCCAGGTACAACCCAGTGCCCTCGCATTTGTGCATTTACTCTGATTAAGTATCCCCAGAAACCCCTCCCTTCTCATTTACCTCAGAGGACAGTGAGGTTTTGTGCTAATCCAGGCCCAATTTCTCAAAATAGGCCAGGCCAAGAACTAGAGATGGGAAAATACTGTTCACGTTCTTTTAAAGCTGTCTGTCTCCATGGCCTTAAACCAGTGTTTAAAGCTCAGCACTAGGGAATTCTGTGCTCCTGGACATTTTAACTCAGAAAGACAACTGTGGGGGCATAAAGTCAGGAGGGATGTGGAGAAAGTGAGCAGTCCATTAGTCACTACTTCTTACAACTTGAGAGGCATTAAAGGAGCAAGTTAAGCAAACAGGAGGTCGTGTCTTGATGCAAGGAAAACTAATTGACAAGAGGAATTAGGAGAGGCAGACCAGAAGTCTAAGCAGGTTCAAAATGGGTGATACAGATGGAAAGAGAACAGGTCACCACTGGCTATAAAACATTGAGACAGACACAGTCCCAACCTCAGAGAAACCAGATTGCCAGAAGCTGGGAGGAGACACTGAAGCACAGGCTCACTTCTGTTTCTTACACTCACAGGCACTCAGAAGCATTTTTAGTAGCCAAACTCAAGTAACAAGAACTCAGGTCAGCCCAAGCTTTTGGCTACAGCAGCTTTTTAAAGGCTCCACGTTATAGTGCCTGTATATTAATCTCAAAATTGGACATTTCATGTGTGCACAAAACGGGCCCTCTGACCACTCCTGGTAAAGGTCTTTTCTGATTTAAGGTAATTTTTATTTTTCAATTTATTCTAGCACTTTCCTTGGTATTTCATGATTACTTATGCCACCTTATCACTTTAGAGAGGAAAAATAAGAATGAAAAAACCAAATCCAGCTTCAAAGACAAAGGTTTCTGCTGACAACACTGATGGACGCGGATTTACTGTTTATTCTTTTTAAAAGAAACTGAACCTACTTTTTTTCTGAGGCTTAAGGAAACATGCAAATTGATAACAGTTTCCCATGCATAAACCATAACAGAAAAAAAAGCTCCTTTTCTTAGTAGTAAGCTCCTATTTCAAAATCCTGCACTGTAACATGCCACAAACCACTAAAAGCTGCAGACACAAGAAAGAGGCTTCAACTAAATGTACAAAGGACACTGGAAATGTTTTCCATTTGCAAAACAGCACCTCTGGGAAAGAGAACATTGACCAGCCTCGAGTTACAGCTGCTCTCAACCTCTGCAGGAGAGCACAACACCCAGATAACAACAGCAGCATTTCTCAGGTGAGTAGCTGCATTTGGGCAGTGTTAAGGTGCTTGTATCCAAATGTCAGCTGGAGCCTGCCTTGAAGACATGGGTGACATGGATGCACAGACACACAACTGGTGCAGGCATCATCTTCCCAAAAAAACCAGCAGCCTACAAAGACATCTTTTTAGCACAGTACTGAGGCACTAGGAATTTTAGCACGCTGACTGCACTTCACTCCAAGTCCACAACTTCCAAGGGTCAGTAGGCAATGAAGGCTGCTTGCTTAAACCACCAGCAAATCACCAAACTCATAAGCACACATCATTTCTACTGTTACAATTAAATAACAGCAGGTGAGTGACACTCTTGTAAGAAATTATTCTGTGTACTATTGCCAGCAGCTGCATTATTTTTGTCACAATCTACACAATCACTGTCTTCTAAAACACCACGGTTATCTTCTGGCAATAGAGGAAATAAAGGGAAATAAAATTAAATACATCGAAGAATACGTGTGCCTAAAATGCAGGCACACATAAAGCGAGTAACAGGCAAGACAGGGTGACTCCTGTGGTTTGCTGTGTGTGATAATGGTCATCAGCCAACTCCAACCTCGTGTTCCTGGGCTTCAAGTAGAGAACACCAAAATGAAAGCCAAGCCCTGGTTCTGCGCTGCGCTGGCAGTGCACAGCACCACACACCACCAGACCTTTCAGGGGCGAATCCACCCACGCCAGGCTCCACCAGGGAGCCAACACCATCTCCATGGGTGTCCTCACTTCTCCCTCAAGCCTTTTGCTGCCACGGAGTTGGGGAAACCCAAACCCGGCCTCTCCCCCAGCTGTGTTACCTCTGGCTGCCGTTGCGGATGAACCCGGAGGGACACTCGGCCATGCACTCGTCGTTGTGGATCACGAACTTCTCGTACTCACTGGCATCCGTGGCGGGGACTTTGGAGCAGAACTCCCTGGTGACGCAGCGCCAGCCCTCGAACTTGTAGGTGTTGGGGGGGCAGGTGGGCATGCAGACCCCCTCGTAGTAGTAGTTGCGGCAGGCCACGCACGCCGTGTTGTTGTCCGGGGCCGTGCAGCTCCCCAGGCACTCGGGGTGGCAACACTCGTTCTGGTCTGTGCAGGCTCGCTTCCCACATGAGCTGGGGCACACTGCAGGGCAGAAAACAAGGGGGCATCAACACCAGCTGCTGCAGACTGGCACTAAAGCAAAATCCCTGTACAGCTCTACAACAATTTGATTCCCTGGGCGCTGGAGTATCTCTGAAAACAAACAAACAAACAAACAAACAACCCACCAACATAAAAACCGCTCTTGTAAAAAATTCTACTTTTCTCAGCTTTAGTTGCCTGAAAGTTTTTTTTCCTCGGATCGAATTTATGACATGGAGGAAATAAGTAATAAAGAAAACTGCTGAAAGCAAGATCAACATAAGGATAATGGAAACAAGCAGGAACCCTTTCCACAGCCCTCGTATTATGGATATTTTTTTTTTTTTGGCATGTTGGCTTATTGTCTTTCTAAGCATTTCTTGTCTTTCCTATTTGTGCTTCAAATTGGTCTTTCGCTGGCAAGAAAACAAGCTTCCTTCAAACAACTTAATTACACTTGTAGAAGGAAGCACTGCTCCACTGCAGCACACATGGTTAGGCTGACCCCAGAGTAGCATCCCAATGTTGCTTATGTGTGCAAAATGCGGTTTAATAAAGTATCAAATCATCATCCACATCAAATACCCAGGAATTATGGAGCTACTATTTTCCCCCTGAAGAGCGTAAGAGAATTCTGCCTTATCCTCAAATTCTGGGTTCAGAGAACAAAATATGAAAGGGAGAAAAAAAAAACCAAAAACAAAACGGGGTGCAAATTTATGGAGACATTTCGTTTTATGTGAAAGTGTTTCCAGCTTGGAAGGCACGACCAAAGAGCAGAACCCTCAGCAGCCGAGCTCACCACTGTCAGATCAAAAGAAGCGGCAGCATTGTATTTATGTAACAACAGCGTTCTGATTACAGCACTGTATGGCCTTTTAGCCACACGAGCCATGTGCCAGGGGCTCTGGAAACACACAGACTGGAAATCTGGTTTGCATTTAGTAGCTGCTTGCCACTTTCTAACTTAGCTAAAACACTGCCCCAGCAGCAACAGCAGAAAAGCGAATTACAGCGGTGCCACTACACCGAGATCCAAGGGAAGCACCACAGACATTTAAATGGGATGATCTGAGCAAAAAGCAGAGAACCAGGAAAGAAGTTCATATCCCAGAATGAACATGGAAGCAGCTGATGAAACTGTAACAGTTCCACACAAGTTCTGCGCTGTGATTTATCTTTCAGTTTGCAGCCACAGTGTTGTTCTAATGCAGGACTAAACACCCTAAAATCTTGATGCCCTCCCTCTTCCCTTAATGAGGAGCAGGCTTTGCAGTGTGTTTTCACAATGCCACTGAGCAGAGCACCATCATCACCACAAGAAAAAAATGCATGAGAGTGCTATTAAGCAATAATAGCAATAACAATAATAATTCCACCCCCACAAAAAAAACCCCAAAACAAACAAACAAAAAACCAACCAAAAAACCCACAAACAACCAAAAAAACTCCAACCCCACTGCATCCAGGATCTTGACATCTTACATCGAGTTCTGATTACAAGAAGCTGTTTTCTGACAGCTTTAAGGTAGTGCCCACCTTGAAAAGGACTTGTCAAAATGCCACCAGAGAATTTTGCATTTCTTACCAAAATTATTCTGTATCGACCCTGATTCATTTCAATCATCTTTTTTTTGTTGTTGTTGAATGGATGGAGAGGGGACACTATGAGAACAAGGAGGTGGGGGCATGAGGACAGCCAGTGCCTGCCCAGGGAGCACAAGTATCATAAGTATCACATGCAGGTCAAAATAAGAAAATTTTTGCAGAGCCAGTTGCCTGTTAAGACTGCAGAGAGCAGGAATGCAGAGGCAATCACTGCTAAATAATGCATCGTGTAAAGCTGCTGGTTTTTTGTTGCCTTTTTTTAAGCTTGAAAAGGGAAAAAAAACCTTATACCCCAAACCCTTACACCAAAATAAAACACACATGCAGGTGTGCATCCTTTTTTGACTGTAATCTGCACCAGAGTAAAGAAGTCTGCCCAGATGCCACCTTAGTAAGGCATCACAAATTGCCTCTCACCCCAAGGTACACAGGACTTGCATTTGCCACTACTAAGGGATTAAAAAAAAAAAAAACAAAAAAAACCCAACAAAAAATCAGTATGTCTTGCTAGCAGATGGACTGCTGTGCTGAGTGGGTGCCAGAACTCAGATTTCATGTGGTAGCTGCATTTCCAGTTCAAAGCCCTACTAAAAAAAAATAACACGCACACCCCCCCGTGCCTCCACAAAGTTCAGTATTGACGTATTGATCAACTACAAGATTTTTTGTTTTCATCTCGACAATCTGCCGAAAAACAAATACTCCCAGCATTAAGTACTGAGATAAACATAGCACAAAAAGCTGGAGTTTATTTCATTCTTGGGAAAGACTCCTGTATTCCCTTAATGCCTCTGCCATTCATGAGCAGTCTGCTATAAAAATAGGATTCCCTGTATATCTCCTGGTAAATCTGCTGACTCTTGTCTACAGAAATATAAATTGGAGCACAGAAGGATACACAAGTTCACACGAAAAAGGCAATCACTGGAACAGGTTTTCAAAATGATAGTAATATTTTAATCACAACTGTTTTAACGTGAACTCCTGAAAACTTTTTAAAGATTATTTTGTAAAAGCTCAGCAACCTCGCTTTCCCCTCAGCCCTATTTTCTGCTTGCTCTTTCAAACGTTGGCAGAGTTTTCAGCCTGGAGACAATATGGGTATCCTGTTTCTTTGAAGAGGTAGAACAAGAACTTCTGTGTGTGTGTGTAGGACACATTATCAACAACAAAAAGCCTTATCTGCCTTACACGCCAGTTCCCTCAGATATCCCTGTTCTAAAATCCTTACCAAACAACACTGGCTGACCTCACAGCCCAGCCCCATCTGTCCTCCCCTCACCCTCCCTGTGCTACTTGGGTTGCTAGATTTGTAGCAAAACATGTAAAATGCAGGTTCCAAAATACTTTGGCCAAAAAAAGCGCCCTGAAATACAGTGGGTAACTTGTTGACTTTAGTCCGCAAGAACATCAGAGACACAAACATAAGCAAACAGTGCTGACATTTGGGGACAGAATTTATCAGCCAGGTACAACAGTGCCTGGGACCATGGAGGTTGATGACTGTATACAACCCCCTGAACAAATCCTTGCTGACAAGCCCAAGGGCAAAAAATACTTAATTGTCATCACATAGAGATACCAAAATAATGGAAAATATCAGAGACCTTGGAGGGCAGCCATGGGAGAGGGAAGTCAAAGCAAGAGCTTGAGAAGAGCAGACCCTTTAGCACTTTAAAAAAGAGATGATGAGGCTTGACTAGACCAGTGTCCAGTTATATCTGGGGAGTGAAAGTACTGTCAGATCATCAGATCTCCAAAGAAGGACAGTACTGGAGTTCCAGCACCCACAAATCAAATTTACTGGAGCAAAAACAACACCAGTACTTTCTTTGACCATCCATGCCTCAGCTTCTCTCTGATTTCTTCAACTCAGTTTTCCTTGTCAACAAAATTAAGGACATTTTTCCGAGTACAAAATCACAGAATCAACTAGGTTGGAAAAGACCTCTGAGATCATCAAGTCCAACCTTTGACCTAACACCACCTTGTACTATTAAGATCCTATGGTCACTCGCAAAAGAAAGGCAAAATATTTCATTCCAAGATGCTCCTTTACTGAACAAATCAGATTCAGACTTGACTTACCAGAAAGGAGATAATTTAAAACTAAATGTAAAGATCTTAGAAAGAAGAGGAGCCCCAAGAGAATCTGACTCAGAGAGACTCATTATTCTCAATTAAAACCCCCATGATGCTAAAAAGAAAAAAGGCAAGAAACAATCATCTGTATTTACAGCAATTGCTTTCTGGACAGGCTGACTCTAAGGAGGTGGCAGTGAGTTTGTCTGACATCTAATGCCTCCCTGCTCTGCGAAACGAGCACCGAGCCAGCGCTCGCTGCAAACACCCCGCGTTGACATCACGGCTACGGCAGAGTCCGGGTAGACAAAAGTGTTCTTATCACCTCCAAGACGCCATGACTTCAGCAAGGCTGCAAGAGAAAAATCAGGTGAATAAACAATCAGTCACAGGGAGGGAAAAGGCAGCCAGAAGAGGAAGACTCCTGGCAAGCGGAGGCGCCGGCCTCGGCCAAGGATGGCACCGCGCCAGTCACATGCGGGCGAGCAAAAGGTTGCCAAGTGTGGGATAAATATTTTTTAAAGATTCTTTCTCTCTTCGTAAAAAGTGTATTTGATCCTTCTCTTTTTTTTTTTTTTTCTTATACTGTTTGGTTTTTTAGAGCAACCCTCACACAAAATAATGTCTCAGAAAAAAAAAAAAAGGGGAAAAAAAAAAGCACCTAGTTTTGAACAGAAACCAGAGGAAGAAAGGAGTGTTTTCTCCTGGTCAACTACTGAAAAAAATTAGCTGTCTAAATTTATCCACAGAGACAGAAAAATACGGTCACTTTTGGAATGTTAATCCTTCTACATGACAGAATTTTTAAAATACTGCATTTTAATGGGCTAAACTCTGGTACGGCCTTTCAAACAGCTGACTTCAAAACTTCGAGCAGCCTATACATGACCTGATTTCTTTTGCCCAGTATATTGTGAGAATAGAGAGACTGGAGAGACATTACTCAGAAAATCCAGTTCCAGTGATTCATGGTCAGGGCTGGAATCAAATAACTACAGAATAAAGGCTGTAATAAGGAAATACACATATTAAATACAAGTAGTAACGTGTTCTGATCACAGGAATATGGGTAAAAGTCATCTCCAAGGAACTGAAGAGGCCACTCAGAGTAGCTGTGTAAATCTTTATATTACTACAGAAATAGGTATTAGCATCATATCAACAACAGTGTATTTTTGTTTTTTTTTTTTTCTGTTCCCCCCCCCAGTGCTCTGAAATCATTTATCTCACATTCAGTAAAAATCCTGAAGGTGAGAAATGCTGCCATCTCAAACTGCTTTCTAGTGGTTAAGGCATAAAGTTTGGCAGCT